GATGTGTATGGCTGTAAATCCTTTCCATATACGAACGTGTCTTCTCTTCCTACATGTGGCCCTGCTCCTCGAGCTGAAAACGGGCGTCGTGGCCGTTCGCCACTCCGATCTTGACTCAGATGAATTTCTGACGCTTGGTGCCGGAATTGCACGGTTGGTTGGTCCCGTTGGTGTTCGACGGATGCTTGCAAGGGCTTCAAGAAGCCAGGAAGAAGGTTGCGAATGCTGCAATAAGGAAGAAATCAATGTTAAGAGCGCCGGTTTCTAGAATTTCGCTAAGGAGCTCCGACGATGAGTGCTCGGAGACGTGCACGTCGAAAACGGGTCGCAGTGGCGCCTACGAGCTACATGGAGAAATGGCCAGAGATCTGAGCAGCGCGGACGAGCGACTCGGTTTTCATGCCTCCCGTGCACCTACTCCTTCGGTTTAGGGTTTAGGGTTCAATAATCAAGTTATGTTCCACAAGCATTGCTGCTAGCAAGCGCTTGAGTAAGGTACTTCATCAGTAGCAGTTGCAGAGAAGCTCCCGGCACCAGCGTCCGCATCGTGCCTTGGATCGATGCGCAGGACGGGAGTGGATTGAGCTGGCTTTCAGATCTGCTAAAGAGGTTGAAGAGCCTTGGGTTCCGGTCTCAGTCTTGTGGAACATTGATGCAACGGGTATGATGGGCAATGGGAGACTTTGGGCTATTCTTTTTGTGGCTTTGCCGCTTATGGGTTTTAGTGTTGGCAGCATGACCTTCGGATACCCTCGAGCCAGGACCCACTCAATGGCTCCTTCGTGGCGGCCTTTGCAGACCCACTTCGCATCAACAAGCTGCTGGGTTGTAATTGTGAAACTTTTAATTTAAGGTACCATGTATGATGGGGGTCTGTAGTAGATAATGTGGTTTCTCTATTGTGATATCTCCTTTACAAGAACCCAGGCTGCGTGCATCAACCTCGGACCCGTTGAAGCTTTGCAGAGTCAGGCCGCTTGACGGCCTCCAAAGCTTCCTATTTCCGAAATGGACTAGTTCGTGCCCGCTGTTCGGGAGAAGACACCGTCTAAACCCTCATAGTCATAGCCCCTCATAGAACCCTTTATTAGTAGAACTTTGACAAGCCCCGTCCCGAGGAAGAAAGACGAGACTGCCCAATGCATTTGCAAGCTGAGCGGCGAGAGGCCGCTTGGTGCTCCTCGGCGCTGGTCATAGCTTCCGGCATTTCCGGGATTAGGGTTGTGAAGGCTTGCAGAGCGCGGTTTATGAGACGTGACGTGGGTTCCTTGCAGAATGGGCTGGTAAGACTGGGCTTCAGCGGATCCTTTGTCCGATCCTCCTCCTAAGGTGCTCGGTCGAACGGTAGCCAAGCTTCCGCATTCCGGCAAGTCCTTGGCTTTGCAGCGGCTCAGATGCAAACAGGGGACGCCTGGAATCCCTCAGCAGCCTTCGAGGCAATCAGCGTTGCAGACAGCCGATAGATCTCCTGAAGCCAATAGCAATACTGTAGCTACAAAAAGACTCATAATCCAATAAAGTCAAAAAATGATGAAACAAATTGCAGCTCCTTCCGAACGGATGAGCGTTGAGTCTCTTTCCTTGTTGTCTCAGGCTCTTTATGGAGCGCTGCCCCGAGGGCGTTCCCGATCTTCTGGCCAGTGCCTGGGCTCTCGGGAGTAGGGTTTGGGAGCTTGGGGGCATGGGGGTTTTAGGGTTTTGGGTGTTAGGGCATATTATGGTAATATGCAGAATAAGAAGCCCCAAGGATCGGGATAGGATTCTTTACGGTTTGGGGTTTAGGCTTTAGGGATTATGGGGTTTAGGGACTAGGGCATATTATAAGAATATGAAGGAGCCGAAAGAAAACTATCGCGATCATTGGTCCGGTACAGTTACATACTTGCTGCAGTCCTTTGGCACTGGTGTTTCAGCAGAAAGTCGTGATCCATGACGAAGGGCTTTGGGGAGGGACGCGTAGCATATGTCATCGCGCAAGCTACTTGAGGTACTCTGGTTCTGAGCTGTCTACTGGTCATCGGAGTGACGACGTGGATGCTGTGGCTGGCCTGGGCCAGTTCGCAGCTAGAACCTTTAGAGCCGGAGCAGCAGGTGAAAGGCCTTGCGAAAGTGAAGACGCCCATGAAACTAGGCAGGCCTTTGGGACCTTGTATACTTTCCCTAGGCCTTATTGGGCACACAGGAGGATTTTGTTTTTGCGCCTTTCAAGCGCCAACCTAGGCAAACGTTCGTCTCCGGCATTTCCTGGGCTGCTGGCTTCCTCCTGTCCCTCGCTGCGATGCAAACGGGCGCGCTCACCGTGGTGCGGAAGTCCTGTGAGCAAGAGGCTCGAGGGCTTGCTGTCGACCTACAACGCACCCGAGCGCGTACTGAAATGACGGCCTTCGGAAGTTATGTTGCTAGTGACCCCATGCAGAAAACCTCGTCATGTGCGGTTTTTGAGAGTGGCTTTGTGTCGCCAGGCCGGGGTGTGGCTCGTCGCCGCTTGCCCTACTGCCCTCGCCTTGGTGGCCGCGCTGCGGCTCACGAGCCTTCTGGCGAGGAAGCAGCTGGTGCATGGGAGTTTGAGTGTGGGCCTTGTCCTCACGGATCTTCCAGAGGATAGCGGCATAGATGCCTTCTTAGTCTGCGCAGTGATGGTCTACTTCGTCTACATCCTGTACCTTGTCAGCACCGACTTCCCCACTCTTCTTGTGGCTTTGACGGCTCTGGGCGGCTCTGCATGGGCAGTCCTCAAGACTGTGAGCACCGCGCGTGACATGGAGCAGAGCCTGGAGATAGTGGAAGTGAGATCGGAGCAATTTGCAAAGAACCTGGGCGGAGACAAGAATCGTCTTAAGCTCTTCATGATGAAGGTAGCTCCAGCTCACAAAGCTGGCTTGTAGTCCGGACTCAGCATCTTTATTAAGCTTTCGCAACACATCCGCAATGATCTTGTGCCTGCAAACAACCCTGAATCCTGAACCCAAAGCCCTAAAACCCCAAATCCTTAATCCTTAATTAATCCTTAAACCCTAAACCCTGAATCCTCAACCCAGGAATCCAGAACGATCCGGGCTGGCCCTGGCCACGCAGCCTTTGGGCAAAGTGCTTTCAAGCCAGCTCGAGGACCTCTAAAGTAGAATCATTCTGGTTTAGGGCTTAGGGTTTAGGGATGTTTAGGGTTTAAGGTTTAGGGATGTTTAAGGATGTTTAGGGTTTAGGGATGTTTGGGATGTTAGGGTTTAGGTTTGCGGTTTAGGGTTTAGGGACATCATCCTCTTAGTAAAATGATCCTCTTAGTAGCGAGTAGGTTTCCTTAACCTTTGGGGGTCTTTATGGTCCTACCATAACTGAAAAGGTTAACCTTGTTTAGGCTAGGATACTGAGGTCCTCAGGAACAAAGTGGCGACGCTACAATAATTATGATAAAAGCTACCGAACGTCGTCGTTGTAGGAGCTGCAGCCAACAACAATGCGATCCTGATGGCAGGGTTTTCGTATTATGAGTCTACTGTCATACAATGGTACTTGCTGCAGTCTCCGTCCAAATCGTCGTCTTTGCTATACTTCGGTAGTAAAATTGCTGATGTTTCCGCTGATAAGGTTGTCTTGCTGATGGAAATTCTCAGTGCTGCTATTCTCATGTTCCGACTTTGAATGGCAGTTGCCGTTGCGCGATCATGACCGGGTTCTCTGGTAGTTGCCATTTTTGTCTACTTAACCTGCGATGATGCGCAGCTTGCAGGAACTTCCGAAGCTTTTGCACTCGTCTTCGTCGCCTTCACAAAGCTGGACAGCAAGATTTGGCCTTTGGCAACATGGGCCGAAAATTCGGGTCCTGACCGGATCATACTACGGATTTTTAGTCCTTCCTGCTTTGGTTTCCTTGGTTTCCTTCTCATGGTGCGTCTCCGCCATCCACATGGCCACCTACGCCTGCTCGGCTGGGGAGCTCACGAACCTGGCGCTGGCCAGCTCTCACTCCCTGAGCTTCTCCCCGTGGCGGCTCGGCCTGAAGTGCATCTGTTTATAGATAAGGAGTCTGAATGGTACTGCATGCAAGCGTGGCTGAGTGTTCTGAAAATTATGTAGACTCTGTCAATGTGGAGGATTTGCATTGTATCATCTGGGCTTTTCTTGACTCGACATCAGGCAGATGCGCTACGAAGTCGTCACGGACGCTTCCTACCAGCAGCTCGCGATGGTCGCTTGGGTGCAGCCTTCCACCACACGCGTCCTATCCTTCGCCCAGCCAGAGGCCACCCACCCCAAGTCCACTTCCGCAGACCACCAGCGGCTTCTGGTCCAAGAGAACCAGACACCGGCGCATCCCACGTGTCTCCACTGTGACTGTGCAAGGCCTCCGGCCGTCGCTTCCAGCAACCGACTACCAAGTCCGCTTCTCCCCGGCCGCCACCCTTCCCACCGTGCTGCGGCTCAGTGCCGAAAGCCTCGGCTTCCAGAGGACCGTCGCCTGGTCGACGCTCCACGGCTCGGTCATCAGCGTACCCGAAGGTGCACCGTAGCAGGAATTGTGAATAAAATAGATCGAACCGGCCACGCAGTGCTTCTTGTGTTTTTCGATGCGTGCAAAGCTGAAGAAGTGTTATACTTTAGTGGTCTATTCTAGTTGTTTTCAGTGACTTCGGTGTAAGCATGTTCGTGTGCTGTATGTAGAGTTTTGTTAGCTTCGGGGGAGTGTGGTGGGTGCATAGGGAAGTAGCAGATATAGCAGGAACGTTGAGATTGCACAGAGGGGCTTCCTTGCAGGTGCCCACGATCTGCATGTCGAAGTGGAGGTCACAGACGTCGTGTTGGGGCTCCCACGGCTCGCAGGGCACGATCCCGACTGCGGCTCGCAGAGCGCGGAGCTCTGGACAGAGTATCGCGCGCACGCTGAGCCTGAGCCTGGTGAAGAGCTCTGTTCACGGGATTGCGCTAATAGCTTGGACTGCTTTACATCCTATCCTGGCACGAACGGCTGCTTTGCCGTCGTGGGGAAAAGAAGCTGCTGGGAAATGCCGCAAGCTAGGGGAATCGGGGAGGTCAACACGAGCAGAGGCAACGGCTCAGGGCAACTGCCCGCTTGGGGTGCCGAGCGACGTCTGCAAGGCCGACTCACTGGTGGTCAGCGCAAAGAGAACGAGACACTCTTTGGTCAGATGGTGGGCGTGGAGGCAGGCAAGCTTCCCTTTGGCTTGGTTCATCCTGACTGGGCTGGCCCAACGGCTACTTTGAGCTTCTCCCTGGATCTGGAGGTCGGTGGGCAGAGCTTCGAAACGGATTTCCTCCCCATCACACTGCACCGAGGACTTCCGGCACCAACTGATGTGCTTTGCCTACTAATCGGTGAGAAGGACGCCAGCACCGAGGTTCTAAAGTCTGAGGGCTCGGTGGACGGTGAAGGCAATGTCGTCATCACCATCGCTGAGTATGACCCGACAATCTTCAAGCGCCTCCGACTGCTGGTGATGCCCCTGCTGCCTGATCCGGATCCCTGGCCCGCAGTAGTGTCGCGTGTTGTTCCGGACTTGTAGGAAGGCTGAGAAGTGTTGCTAGCCCAGGCCCTGCGAGCGAATTGGTCCGAGTGGTCTGCAGCGAGCAAGGAGGACAAGAACCGTCTGAAAAAACATAGCCGCTGCCAGACGAGTGACATAGTCAATTCTCGCTACATGGTCTGTGGGGCTCCGGGCGGCGTCACCCACGGGCGGCCGCTGAACGACGAGCCCGTTGTCGTTAGCCTCGATTCTTGGCTGGGTCGGCCACGCACGCAGCCTACTTTCAGCATCGTGCGCCGCGATGGTCAGGACACCGGATTGACGCGGTCTTTCGAGGAGCACGCTGTGACCCTGGAGTTCGAAGGCGTCGACAGCCCTGCCGCCTGGGCAGCTCACCATCACGGCCACGGTTGCACGCTGCTGAACTCCACGGATGCAGAGCGCGGCATTCTGGCCTCTGCAGATGCGATTTGCAGGCTTTTGTCCAGCTGTGCAGATCGGCTCTGCGAGAAAGTTCGAGATGACACCTTGGGTGGTGCACAGGTTTATAATGCAGGAGCACGGTCTTGGCAACACCCATCACCGTCGGTGTCTGCGGAGCAAACCGTGAATCTCCTGACGTGCTTGAAGGAGCAGGCCCCGTCCTGCAGCCGGAGTATCACACAGCGGCAGTGGAACTATGCCAACAATGCCGTTCAACTGAAAGACTCTGGCATCCGAGTTCCAATCGGCCCGGTGATACGGCTGGCAGACAAATCGGGCCAGGGCGGCTTGGCCTTAATCAGGGAGATCCGCCAGAACCTGACGCTGGAGAATGCGACGGTCTTCGACCAGCATGCTGCACGCGAGGTTTGGGCCTTGCTCGAGCCCTCAAGCGATCTGCTGGCCACAGTGGCAGCCCTGAGCCAGACAGGTCCAGAGCTTGTGGCCCAAGCACTGATGCGGAGCCCTTCGGGCAAAATGCCAAAGGTCACAACAAAGCTGCAGGCGCGGCTCATGCCGATACACTACTTCCATCGTCATCATCATCCTCATCATCATCACCATCATCATCAACATCAACACTTAGATACCCAATACCCAACCTTGAAACTTTCCGGGTTCTTATTCTAGGGGCTGCGCCCAGGTGCGGGCAGCGCGAGTTGTTGTCAGCGGATGTAGCGGGGGAACGGGAAAGACACGCTCAAAATTTCCAGACGGTGCCGAGACAACGACAGCTCGACACCGGAACAAAAGTGTGACGTAGGCCCGAAGTGCACAACTTATGGGTGATCTTAGGCTCTTAGCCCTCGTCGGCCCTCCATGTAGCCAGCATCCGCCCTCCGCCGGACCCCGCTGATGCTGATGATGCGCGCCCTTTTGGGGCTTCCGCAACCCAAGCAAAAACTTGGAAATCATCACTTCTCGCCCACTTCGCGCCGCGGGGCCGGTTGCGGGCGCCCGAGTGCTCATGATGCTCGCCGGCTCGCTTCCTGGGGTCGTCCACGGCGGCCCCGAAACCCGCCATGCCGTGGGGAATGGCTGCGAAGGGCGTGCGCGTTCCGAGAGGCCTCCGGGCCAGGGCCCGCGCGGCCCGATGGAGAAACGGAGGTCCGATGATGCGGGGTCGGCGGCGGGTCGGCGGCACAACCCGTCGTGGCTTTTGCTTCGCAAGACAAGCCCATTCGTCTGAGCCATAGCTCAGTCCATACAGGGCAGCGAAGCGCTGCCCGATTTAATGGCTGCCGCCACTGCCGCCGACCCCTAAAGGTGTAGTACAGGCGTTTTTCCCTTTCCCCCTCCCTTTTTTTTTTCATTTGTATTTCAGTGGTAGTAGAGTAATTTAAAGGCACCTGCAAGGTCTGCCCATCCTTCCCGGCACTACTGTGCGGACCTGCTCGGCACTCCTCGGCACCCCAGGCTGTTCTCGGTTGCGCGATTCGTGTGTATTTTAGTGGTATTTAAGTTGTAGTAGAGTAATTTAAAGGCACCCCAACGTCTGCCCCGCCCCTTCCCGGCACCACTCGGCTGCTCGTGGCCTTACTCGGCACTCGTCGGCACCAGAGGCCGTCCTTGGCTGCTCGACCCTAGAAACCTTAGATTCAAACTTCATTCCCCTGACATTGGGGTGCCTTTAAATTACCCTACTACCACTGAAATACCACCAAAGTATACCACCAAAATACAGCCTGTGGAGCCGAGTAGTGCGAGGAGTGCGAAGGGGTCAGGCAGACATTGGTGTGCCTTTAAATTACTCTACTACCACTGAAATACCACCAAGATACAGGCTGTGGAGCCCAGAAAGGATGTCTTGAACTTACTCTACTACCGTTGAAATACCACCAAAATACAGCCTGTGGAGCCGAGTAGTGCCGAGGAGTGCCGAGTAGGGCCGAGTAGGGCCGAGTGGTGCCGGGAAGGGGTCAGGCAGACATTGGGGTGCCTTTAAATTACTCTACTACCACTGAAATACCACCAAAATACAGCCTGTGGAGCCGAGTAGTGCCGAGGAGTGCCGAGTAGGGCCGAGTAGGGCCGAGTGGTGCAGACATTGGGGTGCCATTAAATTACTCTACTACCACTGAAATACCACCAAAATACAGCCTGTGGAGCCGAGTAGTGCCGAGGAGTGCCGAGTAGGGCCGAGTAGGGCCGAGTGGTGCCGGGAAGGGGTCAGGCAGACATTGGGGTGCCTTTAAATTACTCTACTACCACTGAAATACCACCAAAATATACCACCAAAATGCAGCCTGTGGAGCCGAGTAGTGCCGAGGAGTGCCGAGTAGGGCCGAGTGGTGCCGGGAGGGGGTCAGGCAGACATTGGGGTGCCTTTAAATTACTGTACTACCACTGAAATACCACCAAAATACAGCCTGTGGAGCCGGGACGAAGTCAGGCAGACATGGGGGTGCCTTTAAATTACTCTACTACCACTGAAATACCACCAAAATACAGCCTGTGGAGCCGAGTAGTGCCGAGGAGTGCCGAGTAGGGCCGAGTAGGGCCGAGTGGTGCCGGGAAGGGGTCAGGCAGACATTGGGGTGCCTCGAAATTACTCTACTACCACTGAAATACTCTACTACCACTGAAATACCACCAAATACAGCCTGTGGAGCCGAGTAGTGCCGAGGAGGGCCGAGTAGGGCCGAGTAGGGCCCAGTGGTGCCGGGAAGGGGTCAGGCAGACATTGGGGTGCCTTTAAATTACTCTACTACCACTGAAATACCACCAAAATACAGCCTGTGGAGCCGAGTAGTGCCGAGGAGTGCCGAGTAGGGCCGAGTAGGGCCGAGTGGTGCAGACATTGGGGTGCCATTAAATTACTCTACTACCACTGAAATACCACCAAAATACAGCCTGTGGAGCCGAGTAGTGCCGAGGAGTGCCGAGTAGGGCCGAGTAGGGCCGAGTGGTGCCGGGAAGGGGTCAGGCAGACATTGGGGTGCCTTTAAATTACTGTAGTACCACTGAAATACCACCAAAATATACCACCAAAATACAGCCTGTGGAGCCGAGTAGTGCCGAGGAGTGCCGAGTAGGGCCGTGTAGTGCCGGGAAGGGGTCAGGCAGACATTGGGGTGCCTCTACTACCACTGCAATACCACCAAAATACAGCCTGTGGAGCCGAGTAGTGCCGAGTGGTGCCGGGAAGTTTTTGTATCAAGCTTGTACGGTGCTAGTCATAAAAGGACGGCCTAGATTCCCGAGTAAGAGCGAGTGGGCGAGATGCTGCAAGAATCCAAGAGCTTCTGGGCGCCGCCCCAGCAGGGGTCGGCGGATAGTTTAGTAGGAATCGGAAAGTTTAACCTTTTATTTCTGTGGCTTATTGAGGTAGTAAGAACATCATCATCATCATCATCATCTCACCAGAACGCTGCGTGACCATCGAGTCTTTTCATTGCAGCAGTTGGGTCTTAGGGTGCGGAGCTTGGCTTGTGCAACCGTTGGGAAGCCTTTGCAATTCGGTTGCATGAGTTCAGAAGTGGGTTTCAGGAGACAAGCGCAGTAGGTAAAAGCAAGCAAGTTGCACTTTGTTGAGTCTGTTTCTTCTGCTTGGCTGCACCTCGCAGTGGTATGTCTGGATCCTTGAGCAGGCCGCTTTCGCCCACCTCACGGAGTTGAGGGTGCAGCTTGAGGACGCGGCGCAGCTGCGCCACCTGGTTGACCTGGCACAACTGGCTCCGAGGCTCCAGGAGTTGAGCCTCTCCTGCAGTTTCTGTCCGGCAACCGGCAAGGTGCCCTCCCGAGAGGACCTGCAAGGGCTTTCAAAACATCGCGAGCTCGAGAAGCTCAGTCTGAGCAACTTCCAGGTCCGAACGCTCCCGGCCCGGGTCTTCCAAGGGCTCGGGAAGCTGAAGACGTTGAACCTAATCTCCAACCAGCTCCAGACCCTTTCGCCCGAAGTTTTCCAGGGGCTCGGGGAGCTGCAGGAGTTGAATCTTGTCACCAACAAGCTCCAGACCCTCCCTCCCAAAGTCTTCCACGGGCTCGGGCAGCTGAAGGGGTTGTCTCTTGCCTCCAATCAGCTCCAGACCCTCCCTCCCAAAGTCTTCCACGGGCTCGGGGAGCTGCACGAGTTGAATCTTGGCGATAACCAGCTCCAGACCCTTCCAACCGAAGTCTTCCAGGGGCTCGGGGAGCTGCACGAGTTGAATCTTGACGATAACCAGCTCCAGACCCTTCCAACCGAAGTCTTCCAGGGGCTCGGGGAGCTGGAGGTGTTGGATCTTGCCGCCAACCAGCTCCAAACCCTCCCGCCCGAAGTCTTCCAGGGGCTCGGGAAGCTGAGGAGTCTTCGAGGGGCTCGGGAAGCTGAAGAAGTTGAATCTTTCCTCCAACCCGCTCCAGAGTCCCCCGGCCATTTGCGACGAGCCTAGGATTCGCTGTGAATGATGTGCTCAGCGAGAAAAAGGCGCCATGGCCGCACGCGCGGGCGGCTGCCCACGGCTCCGCACATGCCTCATCTCATTGCGAGATTTCGTTTTCTTCTTTTTTGACAATGACATGGACCTATGCTCCTTTTTGAAGACACCTTCTTGCTTGCCTTTATCCTCGAACCCATTATCCCAAGAAGCCGAAGCTTTCTGGGCAGAAGCGAAAGGTACAAGAGGCGTCCGACTTGATGTCCGAAATGAAGGAGCGCGGGTTGCCTCTTGCTGCAGCCTCAGAGAGTATCATCGGAGTCTCCAGAGACCTTGAGCCACCTCAGTTGTGGTGCATGCAGTAGGTGAGAGGCTAACTGCAGAAGCCAGAATCATGTAGAAGTCGTACATAGTACGAGGTGAGTATAAGGGTATGAGCAGCAAAATAGCAAGGACCAACTCCAACAAGCAGTGCAACCAGTACGGAGTGTAGGAGGGGGGAGCGGGAGCTCATGCGAGCTCCGAGTCTCAAAACCCTCGGCCCTGAGCCCCAAACCCCCAGCGGCTGGTCGGGACTTAGGGCGTGGTGATAATTCCCGAGGCCGCACCACAACGATCTGCAGGGCTCGGGCTTAGGGTGGCTCACCACTTGATGTTGCATCAAGAGCTCAAGGCCTGAACCTCGAAGGCTTATGTCCTCAGCACCTCAAGCACCCCAAGGCCCAAATCTCTCGTCAACAGCAACAAGATGCGACAAGGCCATGGATGTTTGGAAGGCAGGCCTCGGCGTCTGCGTTAATGCGGCACACTCAGAACCATTTGGATTTGATTTCGTTTCAGGGCTGACGGGTTAACATGCAGAGTTTGCTCTTGGAAGTTTTTTATGGATATCGGCAAAATTTGGAGGGTGATTGCTACATGTGTCTGGACCGGCTTCACCCAAGGTCGATCTGCAGCTGTTTGCTTTTCAGGTTTGAGCGGGGTGGGTGGTGCAGAGGCCTGAAAAGTCATAAACCCCATATAGAACATTCTAACAGTGATTACTATATCATTCTTCAAACGATGCTAGTACTCGCATGAGGTGTCCTGCAGTGGCGTAGAGTTTGGAACTTTAGGGTTTAAGAAGCATGGGCTAACGGTTTGGGCAAGGGTTCTTGTAAATGCCAAGCCTTTAACTCTGCATTCCGCACCACCAGAGTCGTGCAACATCCCTTGCTAGCCACAAGGAGGTGGAAGAGTGTGAGCAGAATAAAGGCCAAAAAGAAAAACATATGCAGAAACCTGGATAAGATAGGATTCTACACAGTTTGCGCACATGCACCAGCAATGTGCCATAGTCGCGGGAGCACCACGATGCGTGGATAAGCAGAGCGAGCTACTGTTTCACCCGAAACCATGTTTCGCTGTCTCAGTCCCGAACTTGACCTCGGGAAGCTGCCAGAAACAGATCAAATCCTGAGCACCTGCTGACAGTATGAAGACTTCAAATCGAGAGTTACTTTTTATTCCAAGCGCTCCGACAGAACCCCTCAAGAGAACCCCATAAAGCTTTAGGAGGCCCACAAACCCTCAACCTTAAAACCCCAAGCCCTAACCCTAAACCCTAAAACCCTAAAACCCTAAAACCCTAAACCCTAAAACCTAAACCCCAAAACCCTAAACCCTACAAAGCCCTAAAGCCACAAAGCCCTAAAGCCCTAAAACCTAAACCCCAAAACCCTAAACCCTACAAAACCCTAAAGCCACAAAGCCCTAAAACCCTAAACCCTAAACCCTAAAACCCTAAAGCCCTAAACCCTAAAACCTAAACCCCAAAACCCTAAACCCTACAAAGCCCTAAAACCACAAAGCCCTAAAGCCCTAAACCCTAAACCCTAAAACCTTAAAACCCTAAAACCCTAACCCCCCCCCCCCCCACAACCCTGAGCCGCAGCCAGGCATCGGCTGGTGAGGCAGCCAGGACGTTCTTGCAGGCTGGACACCGGAAAGGCGTTTGAGGTTTAAGGGGTGTAGGGCTTCTTAGGTTTAGGGTTTTAGGGTTATTTCCTGTTTTGAGGTTCATATTTAGAATCCGATAAGGTAACCGCAAAAAGGAACTCCTATGGGGCCTATGGGTAAGGTTTAGGGCCGAGAGCTGGGAATTCATTCAGGCCTCGAGCTGCATGGAGTGTGGGCTGTTGCATGTTGCAGAAACTTGCTCTTGCGCCTTTAGTCTACGGCACAGCCTATAGCCCTAAACCCCTGAAATCCCTAAGCCAGAAACCCCCCAAACATGCGAACTTCTGGGTCTTCCAGTAGTGCACGCTTGCCCTTCTGTGTTGCGTTTCCGCTAGAGCGCTCTACCCTTAGGCAGAAGCCCCTAGACCGCCAGCCTAAGCCTTAAATTTTCTAAACCCTAAACCCCTACCTTGACCCGGAATAACCTACCTTTTTGAGGCCTAAAAAGGTAGGCTATTCGGGGTGAAGGTAAACCCTAAACCCTAAACGCCCTAAACCGTGGCTGGGTCAACTCTTTGGGTTCATGCAGGATCGGGAGATTCTCAGACGGGCGAACCAATATCTCGATTATTGTCCATCATGGACGATTTTTCATCAGTGATTATCATAACGATCGATTGTTACTTGCTTTAGGATTCTTGATATTTTTGTTCATTATTATTCTTCTCACTGTGCTCTTATTCCCCATTCTTGGTTTGGTTAGTAGTTATATTATTCTTGTCCTTAACAACCTTGTTGTGGTTAGTTACTCCATGATAAGAAGTGGGTTTCATACTCACCGGGGAAAGCAGCTGGGGCCCAGTCGAGGAATCTTCAAGATAAGGAAGGAGTTCCAAAGTCTCGGGGAAGGCCTCAGGATTCTTCAGGACTCCAGGAAGGCTTGCGCGGGAGTCTCTGGGAGAGGCTTTAGGGTTCAGGGTTTAGGATTTAGGGTTAGGGGTGATCAACTAGCAAGGCTTGAGTTGAGACATTCACACACAATCATGAGATACAAACACTTGTAATGATCGTGAGAACAGTACCAATACTATTATTTATTTCCAACAGTCACAACCTTCATGAAAATAATGACAACAACAATATCAACATGCATGCGAGTTAACAAAACTGAATAAAAGCAACCTCATTCTCTGGTGCATCGCTTGGCCGTCCTCGCTGCCTCAGCTGCTCCCTTGTGTCTGTGGGTTGAGCAGCCATGAAAACAGCCGATGGTTGTTGGGCCTCATACCATGTGAGCACCGAGCTTTTCTGTTTCGAAAGTGATGGGTTTGTAAGCAGATATCGGGGCTGGCAAGATGCATTCGCCAGGCAATGTGACAGACTAAGTAGTTAGGGTGGCCCAAAGACCCCATCCAACTCAAACCTTAGCCCTAGCCGCAGCTTCTTCCCTGCTTGTCGCCTAGGTCAGCGCCCTTAGGGAGATGTCATGTCGTCCCAGGCGGATCGCAAGTGGCGGCGCCGCGATCCCAGCGTAGACGACCGGAAAAGGAAGCGCGATGACAAGAAGGAGAAGAAGGAGAAGGACCGACGGGACGACCGCCGGGACGACCGGCGAGACGACCGCCGGGATGATCGCCGGGACCGGGACGACCGGCGGGATGACCGCCGCGAGGATCGCAGGGAGGCAGAGCGCAACCGGGACACCTGTCTTCATTGATCAAGCCCTGGGGTTGCTGTACGTATATAGCTGCATCCACAGCTTCAAAATATACACCATGTGCATACATGGACTTGAATGAAGATTCAACAGCCATGGAAGCCCTGGGCACTTCGACCCGGATGTTTAAGCGAAGCCAAAGCTCTGCTCAAGTTGAATCCCAAAAAGCTCTGGAACCTTAAACTTAAACATGCAGGGAGTCACAAAATGGGAGTTTCTGAAAATAGGGGATCCAAATATACTACCTTCAATGGTAGGATCCTTATTCTAAGGACCCGAAAATACGGTGCCCCTAATTTTCGGAAACTCCCACATACCTTCACGTAGCTCTTCCTGTGCACCCCGCCGCCTTAAGTCCACGACGCTCGACTCTCAGACCTAGGCATCCTTGCAATAGTCTTTTAAAGGGAACTCCAGAAAGTTGGAATATTGATTAATGGTAGGATCCCCTATAACTTACCTTAAAGGGGTTACGATAATGATATTCCAACTTTCTGGCTTCTGCTGTTTTCCCCTCTTTAGACGCACTCAAGAGCCATCCAGCTATATGAATCAGGTTGAGCCCTCACAACCTAGATACAAAAATTCTATAATCCACTTCCCCCCACTCTCCTACACGCACAGAAACTCACATGCCATAATCCACTCTTCATAGACTCTCCAAGGAGAAGAACGACGACCGTCGGAGACGCGTCGACCGGTCGCCCGAGCTGCCGAAATCGCCGCCCCCGTCCCCTCCGGCCAAGGTGGCCAAGCCGGCCATAAACTGGCGGGAGACTACGAGGAATTAGTCTTCATAGGGGTTTAGGATTCAGGGTTCAGGGTTTGTTCAGGGATTAGGGTTAATAGGATCGGGTTCAGGGTTTATTTAGGGAATTGAGGAATTAGACTTAATAGAGCTTTTTGGGTTTAGGATTCAGGATTCAGGGTTCAGGGTTCGATTTCTAGGGATCAGGGTTTAGGGATGAGGGAGACTGGGAGGAAAAGGGGTTAATCGCGCTTACGGTCAGGGTTCAATTCAGGGTTCATAAATTAGGCATTATAGGGAGCCTAGGACTCAAAGCAGCTGCTTCAAATCTATTCTTGATAAGGTTCACAAAGGTTTCTTAATGAAGCAGGGCAGGCCTGCCAGCAATAACGCCTGGGCTTTCCAAATTGAGTCTGATATGCTCAGGTGATTTTAGGCAACTGGCGGGAGTTCAGGTCTTTCTAGCTGTTTGATAAAGTGTTGCGGGATGGCTTCTAGATGTCATATGGAGGATCAATATGCACTAAACATGGGGACCGGATTGTTCAGGGGATTCTATAGGAGGCTTTTATCCTTGAGCAATTTAATTCTTATGCAGCAACATCAGAGCGCACCATCCGATATCATCCCGACTGTAAAGTGCGAGCCCAAGCCCAACCGCTGCCTATGCAATAGCCAACCTCTTTGAGGGTTGAGCCATAGGCCCTGTTCTAACAAGCCTGTAATTGTAGGGACTTTACAGAGAGTAGGTTTCGGGAGTTTAAGGTGAACCCTAAGCCCTACGCCCTGTGCTATAAGGTTCTAGAATAGGGTTCTTTTAAAGGCATCCTTTAGGGGCTCTACAATGGGGTTCTTTTAAAGGGTACTGTAGGGTTCAATGAACACCGGAACCTTTCCCGAAAGCCCCAGGAAGAAGCCGGGGAAGCCGAAGATCTTCGCGACAACTCCGACGATGAGGACATGAGGGCTGATCCCGTCGATTCCCTCCACCTGCGGTTTAGGGTTTAGGGCTTTTGGGGTGATTTAGGGTTTGTAGGGTGGTGCAGGGGTTTTAGGGTTTAGGGTTCCGCCTTCCCCTGGGTCAGATCCCTGATGCAATTGATTTGTTCATGTGGAAGCCTTAAGTTAAAAATCTCGAGAGAGTATGTTATCGTGAAGGGACTACTTGAACATTTCTCGTTCCCGGAAGTCAGATCCCGGATCAATTCCTCCTCCCTGAGTGGGTACTCTGCTGGGAAGCCTGCACGTACAGCGCACTGCATGTTCGTGCACCCTCGTAAACACAGGTACTCGTAGCTCAAGCAGGTACATTGCGTGAGAAAAGACTTGGTAGAGGCTCCAGATTTATCTCAGAACTGGGCCCCTCCTTCCCTCCCTATGTATGGGGAATCATGATAAGGAGCCTTAAACAGGTAGGCTCGTTAGGATCCAGGTAGGGGCTCGGAGATATGGGGGTCGAGTGTGTGGTTCGTGTTCAGATCGATCTGAAGCTGTTGCTTGTACTATAGGGGCCGAGATAATTAGAATAGGGTTTGGGGGCTCATTATTTTTTCATTTATAATGAGGAACCCCCAAAATAGTATAGGTATACCGGTATACCTATACTGTTTGGGGGTTCCTTATTATAATTACAGTATAATGTGCCCCAAAACCCTGTTCTAATTATTAAGGCCCCTGTAGTACACCTAGCGGCCCTAGCACCCCTGTAAAGCTGGGATTCTGCCAAAGTGTCAACGGTGAATCCGAGGACAGAGGAGCTTCATAGCCGCAGTATGGGCCATGTATAGGGTCTACTAAAGTACTAAACCCCTAAACCCTCAACCCCTCAACCCTGCCATCCCCCTGATCTCTGTAAAGCGCCACCGCTGATGCCAGGAGGCGGCAGCCAGAAGGTTGGAAGAGAGCCGACGCTTGGCCACGGTTGCATTGACCAGGGTTCGCGCTTTGCCGGGGTAGGAAGGATGTAGAGCGAACCCCGTTCGACCGACTAACTAAACACTAAACCCTAAACTGGGTAGGACTTTGGGTCATTTAAACATATAAGGGTTCATAGGGAGTCTATATATATATATATATATATGAATATGAATATGAATTTTTTCAATGGGCTCTAAAGACCCCAGATTTAAGCGGGCTGAGGGTTTTGAATTTATCTTCGAGGGATGAGGATCCCGAACCTAAACTAATGACTTACGGCTTCAAGCTGTAGGGTCTCAGGTTTTGGGGTTTTAGGGCTTTATGGTAGGGTTCTAGTGTTTTCGGGCTTGGGGCTTTAACTGATCAGGGGCTTCGGGTTTTAGGGTTTGGAGATACCCTTCTGGTGGGTTTCATTCTTTCAAGATTGCTCTAGGCTGCCGGGGTTGAAGGAATTTGAAGGAGCTTGATCCGAGGAATCCATAAATCTCCCTCTAAAGCAACCTCTAAACCCAGAGACTCCAATATCCCTTAATTAAGGAATATACCTTAAATTATAGTAGGACCCTTAATATGATTTAAGGAATATTCCCGAATTAAGGGGTATTGGAGTCTCTGGGAAGGCCCCCTTAATGCCTACAGAAACCGCTATAGGACTGCTTTAGCGTTGAGCAAGTCTCCGAAGCTCAGGAAAGCGCAGGGCAGCGCTGATGGCCCAAGCGAAAGAGGAGAAGAAAGAGGAGCAGAACGAAGCGACCATAAGACGAGTGTTTACAGGGAGCCACAAACCTATTTACTGTAGGCTCTTACAGCGGCTTTTGGCCTTTTAGGAGGTTCGGGGTTCAGGCATATTCTAGGGTCGAGCGTTTGGTGCAATTTAAGGGCTAAGCTGTTCACGGCGTTAGGTAATCGGGTTTGATGATGGACCCAACAGGTTTTATTTGGGGCGCAAAGGTGGATCGCGGAGTACGGGGTGCTGAGCCTGGGTCTTGGGGCAGGGTTTAGGGTTGTTTTTGGCTTGCGGCTGTAGGGATCGGAATAGACCTTAGCGCCTTAGCGCTTCGTCGCGCGAGTTTTGCATGTGCTTCTTCACAACTAGCACAATGTAGCGCCAAGGCTTGTGCGAATGAGTCTCGGCACTCAAATTTTTCAAGAAGACGAAACGCACCGTAAATAGACTCCCCGAAACCCTGATACCTGAAACCTTGTTGAGCAAATCTCGCACCTCAATTAGATTTGGGACTTCCAGCACGTACGGGACCCTCAAACACCCTATACCCTCATCGTTCGTCGTGCGTGCCCCTGCACCATAGGACCCAAATCCAGAAAGCCAAGCCCGAAAGTCCTGGCACTTCAATCCCAAAACCCTCAACCCTAAGCCCCAAACCCCTAAACCCCTAAATCCTAAACCCTAAACCCCTAAACCCTAGACCTTAAATCCTAAACCCGAAACCCTATAACCCTAACTCCTAAACCCTACCTTGACCCTGAAGAACCTACCTTTTTAGGGTTACCTGCTATGATTTCCTTATATAAGTCCTTAAAAAGGTAGGTTCTTCAGGGTTAAGGTAAACCCTAATGAACCCCCAATCTCCTCCCGCTCCACTGGGTTAGTCCAAAGGAGGCGCCAGCGACAGCGCCGCCGGCAGAGGCAGCGCCTGCTGCCCCGGACGCGGAGAAGGCGAACTTCCCAGAGATCCCAATACCCCTTATAGTTTAGGACAAAACCTAGGGTTCCTTTAAAGGGATCTAACAGGATTTAGGGTTCAAGGCATTCTAATACCCCTTATAATTAAGGAATATACCTTGAAACATAATATTAAGGCCTCTGTCATTTAAGCTATATTCCTTACTGAAGGGGTATTGGGTTCTCTGGGTTCGGGGAAGTTTCTTAAAGCTAAAGGAGCCTAGGTACTGTTATGGGGGGATACTGCCCCAAATAATTTAAATCGTAAAGCCATTCTATTTACTATGTAGTTATTTAGGACTCTTTGGGAAACCCTAAATGCCAAGTCCAAGACCATGTCAACCGTATAGGCCCCTAGAAACCTTATTTACGGGGCTTCCAAGGGTTTCTAGTGCTTCTGATAGTTTATTTAATGGTTCTGGAAAGATTGGTGCCGCATATGATCGGTTGTGTAAAGCCAGTTTAACCAGGTGTTTACGAGTTTAGTTGGCGTGAGGGTTTCACAGCAACAGGAATTTTGCGATTACGGGTTGCATCAGGCTCCATACCCCTGCTGAATTGCCTTCATGCGGGTTCAGAAATTACGGTTCTTACTGTGACATACCCTGCTGGTATGCTAGCATTACGATGTGCTGAGCTGATGACGTGCCTACTTCTGTTGATGTTAGCATTCGAAGGAGATTTCCGAAGAGTCTCTCCTAGAAAGTAATGGGGGATCAGGACTTTAGACTAGGAGGCTTCGTCCTTACGGAACAAAACTCCAGAACAAACACAAACAAGCTTCGTTGTAAGTGCCCTGTCAAGGTTTAGAATCCCGTCGCCCCTAAGACAAAAAAACAAAGGGCAATGCCCAATCGAACTCTGGGTGACCGCTTATAGCCTTAAAGCAGCCCTTACAGCAACCCTTCCAGAAACCCCTTTAGTAAACAGCGGTGAAAAAAGTGCGGGTGCAAGAAGTTCGATTCTTCGAGGCCGAAGGGGATGGTGCTGACACGGCAGATGAACCCGCGGAAGCTTCTCCGCTTTAGACGGTCTGAAGATTTGGGGTTTCTGGGTCATTTTTGGAGCCGGGCATCAGGGCTTTATGGGGTTTGGATAGGTTAGATTTGTGTTGGGCGTGTTTTGATAGAGTGTTGCGTGGCATTTGGGTTTAGGGGGTGGGTTTAGGGCTTTGAAACTCTTGGGCTCTACGAGTTGAGGTAAGGCTTACGGTAGGTTTCACAAGGCGCCCTTTTCGATTGCCAGGGTGCTTCAAGGATGTAGAGCATGGGTTTCCTTGAGGGCTTAAGGTAAAAGCCAGAAAGTTGGAATATGATTATCCTAACCTTCTATGGTAAATTATAGGGTATCCTACCATGAAACCATATTCCAACTTTCTGGAGTTCCCTGTAGAAGGTTCGTTCAAGGATCCTGTAAGGGTTCGATGCGGCTTCAACTCAGGGCTTCTATGGCTCCCAACGTTCCTGATTATAAGGATTTAAAGTTTAGGGGTCAATTTTCAGGGTTTATATACTATACAGTAGTGTAGGCCTCTTCAGAGGCTCTATAGAGTTTACTATAAAGGTCTTGAGCTTAAGAGTGCATGCACCTCAGGGTTTGAGATTTAACAGTTCTCTCCTTCCATGAGGGCTGTATATGCGAATCGCGGGCCTCTAGCAGATGTATAATGCTTACCAGAGGTTGCAAGGGTTTTAATCTGGGGCTTCGGAATGGTCTTTCGTGTTTAGGGGCCCGCGTGGACCCCTTGAACCTCGACTCCACGTCTTGATTCATAAAGGGGCTTACTAGGTAGTAGTCCTTTTCCGGATTCCTGCAGTGTATTCGTAGTATAATATACAGACGGAAGACTTTAGTGTAGACTGCTCGAAGCCCTGCGTCTACTTGTGTTTAGGCGCCTAGTCGTGTTTAGGCCCAAAATTAGCTTAGATCCCCCATACCTAACCTTTAAAGTTTTCGGTCCTTATAGTTTAGTAGGAATCGGAAGGTTTAACCTTGTATTTTTGCGGCTTATTGGGGTAGTAAGCTAGATGGCTGAGCTCAGGCGCCAGAGGGTAAGGAAGATGACGGCGGAGGTGGAGCAGCAGGGCAGCAAATTCTTGGGGTTCAGACTACCCGTCGAAGGATAGAACTAATGCCTGGGCCTCAAAATTATCAAAAGTATGTAGAATAGAAGCCCCCAATGGTTTTGGCCATTATTCACTGCTCTTGGGGGTTTAGGTGTACATCATTGGAAGAAACTGCAGGGTTTTGGTAAACTGGGTTCTAGTACTTATGATACCCCTTGCGAACGAAATCCAAACAAAACTATGCTATGGCATGGCTTCCCTAAGCCCTATAACCCCAACCCCTAAACCCAAACCCTAACCCCTAAACACTAAACCCTAAAAACCCTAAACCCTAAACCCTAAAAACCCTAGGCCCTAACCCCTAAACCCTAAACCCCAAAAAACCCTAAACCCTAAGCCGAAGCCTCCAGCCACTGCATACCAGACCTTGGGGAGCGGTCGAAAGCCTACGGATAAAGCCTGTCGTGTTCATGTGTTGGGTTTAGGGTTTTGGGGTTTAGGGTTTAGGGACGGATAACGCCTGGGCTACACAAAACCCACGTGCTCCCAAGCCTTTCGGAGCGCTGAGTCAGCGATCCTGTGAGGGGTTTAGGGTTTACCTTAACCCTGAAGGACCTACCTTTCTAGGGCTCCTTATTATGATTCCTTTATATAAATCCTCAAAAAGGTAGGATATTCCGGGTTAAGGTAGGGCCTGGAAGATGCCAAGGATATGTTCGATCTCAACCAGGACGCGACTGGTCGCTGCTTCATGCACTTTTTGCTTCGTCAGGTTTGTTCTGCTGCTTACCCTCGAAACTCCAGGAACCCAAGTGCCCAACTCCTAAACCCTAAGCTCAGATCTTATAGACCTGCAGCGCTTGGATTTTGGGATGTACCATTCAGGTCCTGGGTGCACATGGGGCGTCAGGTGAAGGGACCGAACTCCAGGCTTTCATCATCTTCAATACTCAGGCGTTAACATAGAGGCCTGAATAGTTAGAACAGTTTCATGGGGGCGGTATATTACAGTATATATATATATATATATATACATATGGGCGAGTACGGGAAGAACAGTATAGGTACATACGCACTCGAAGAAATCAGTATCATGATTGTTGTTATTGCTTTAACTATTGCTTGACATTTGTTTATTGCCAGTATTTCTGGTATTGCTTAGGGCACTCGGCATGAGAAACGAGTATACCCATAATTATCATAAAAGTAAGAAGGAGCATAGTAACAACAACAACAGCAGCAACAACAACAACAACAACAACAACACCACCAGCAGCAGCAGCAGCAACAGCAACAGCAACAGCAACAACAACAACAGCAGCAGCAACAACAGCAACAACAATAATACCAATGGAGGGAATGCAAACAGAATAATAGCAGTAACACTAGTGCAAACAGTAATAACAACAAAAAACATGATCGGGCTCCAACTCCGCTGACCTTAGCCCGTTCACGTCGAGTCCCTCAGAATGGGGGGCTCCGGGTTTCGGGAGGCATGGGCTCAGCTCGGGTTGTTTAGGGGCCCTCACAACCAGAACAGGACACTGCGCAACCCCGTTCCAAATAAACCCTAATCCCTAAACCCTAAACCCTGACAAATATTAAGGCCGGTATGGTGCCAGCTCCAGTTCTATCCCAATCGGCGACACACTCAAAACCTCAGCTCCAATTTCGCAGAACCCATGAACAACTTGCAGCTCGAAGCCTTAACCCTAAACCACTAGACCCCAAACCCTAAACGCGAAACCCCCTTAACCCTTAAAGCCCTTAAAGCCCTAAAGCTTTAAACCCTGAACCCCCCTGACACTCTGCCCCTTTCAACGTCAAACCCAGGCGAAAGAGCTCAAGGCGAACGGGGGGAACATGGGGCGGTCTTTCCTATAGTCTCCTTAGGAATTATTTTAATTTTTGTTCATATGAAACCCAAGAGAATTTTCATATTCTTTATTACGGTTCTAAGCGGGGTATAGTTTGAAGGCTCTGCAAGGAGTCGAGAATCAATAATCAGGGTTTAGGGCATTAAAGATTTTTGGGCTTTAGGGAAAAGAGTTTAGGGTCGGGTTTAGGTTTGAGAAGGCCTCCATCGTTCGATGAGGGCTCGAATCCTCTGGCAATTTGACTTGACTGCTTTGTATGGGTAGGTAGAGAGCTGCCATGGCGACATGAAAGCATCGTAAATCACACGACGATCCTGCAATCGTGCGAAGGTTAGGCAGCAGGATGAGCTAGGACCATGGCGGAGACGCGTCTCGCCAAGAAACCACCAGAAAGTGAAGTACTCTGCCCCACTGCTACCGACAGCTCTTCCTGTGTTCCAGTCGCAACTCCGGAGCCCAAGCCCTACACCCTAAGCCCTTCTAGTAGCCCTTGTAGACCCCTGTAAAGTTTGCTCAGATGGTGATTATAGACACCCTGTGCCTGGATCCCATCGCAAATATGAGTTTGAGACAATGCAGAACCCATCATCTTCAACCCAAACAGAAAGATCATGATGAGAACGCGCCGCAACAGGGACCCGTAGCTTTGACTCAACCCAATACAAGCCCTGAGCCCTAAGCTCTAAACCCTAAGCATTCCTTTAGGGTTTAGGGTTTAGGGTTTAGGGCCCTCAGCCCCAAATGCCAGCTAGCGTGGAGGCCGGACGTCAGCGTATGCAGAGCATTGCAACGACAGGTGCTTCCACAGAAGAGCCTCAGATTATATTGGGGTTTAGGGTGTTAGATTTAGGGTTGAGGTTAAGTGTTCAGGGTCGTAATGCAGATCCCTCGTTAATGACGGTTTTCGGGTCTGCATTGAGGTTACTAGTATTGCTGATGGACAGAATCCTGCTTTATCCAGAGGAAGGAATGCAATATGCTTCATAGTCTCCATACTCCATCGCCTATAGCTTCAGCTACTCAGTTACAAGGTAAGGATGCGTCCCTAATTGTATCTGCCTTTCTTGCTAAGTTCCCCCAGAGGCTCCTCATATACTACCACTATGGTATTGGGTCCCAACAAGCCACCCCTACTATGATTTTTGGGACCTGATGCCACAATGGTACTTGAAGGCTCATGGGACTTAGTAAGTAAGGTTATAAGTAGGTTATAATTAGGATAACCCCACTTAGGGGACTTATAGCCCCAACTATAACCTACTTACTGAGTCCCATGATCCTCCAAGTAAGCGTTACCGAAGGGTCCGTGTAGCAAGGAGCAAACTAGGCAGGGCTTATATGTGGCTCCCATGTTTCTGAAACTTGTATGGAAACCCTGAACCATAATCACACCTTCCGCTGCAAGAGGCAAGGATGTCTTCGAACGGTAAAACATCGACAATTGGGATGAGTATTCCTTTTAGAGTTCAGGGTTTAGGATACTCTCACTGTCCCTCCTAAGCATCCGGAAGCCCTGAAACACTGGTCAACAAATCCTGCAACAAGCACACAACTGTGCACCGTTTGTCTTAGCATGTCTACGCGTTTTCATGAAGCTCCTCGAGGATTGGGATGACGAGGAGGGCTACTACTGCGCTCAGGCCAAGGGTTTACTTAAAGGATCATGGGACTTAGTAACTGGGGTTATAAATAAGGTAACTATACTTACACTTAAGGTACTTATAACCTGGCTTACTAAGTCCCATGAACCTCCAAATAGGGTTTACACACGGCTTGAAGGTTCTTGCCAGAGGTCGCTTCAGGCTTCTATTATTATTTTGTTCATTGGGGCTTCAAGGTTTGAGCTTCTAATATTTTGTTCCTTAAATTGATTATGGTAGAATGGGCCCCAAAACCCCATTTCCAACTATCAAGGCCCCTATATCATAGAGCCTTTGTACTATCCCCCATAGTAGCTCTCATAGACCCCTTGAAAAGGAACCCTGTTCTAATTATGAGTGCCCCTATACTAGTTGAGTTGTTGGTTCTTCCTCGAAGTTGTGGATGTCTAGGTCTTGGCGTTCCAGTTAGTGGCAGGGAAGACATCGTGTTCAAGGGTAGAATACAGAAGTCGAATATATAGTAGTACTGGGATACCACGAAACCCTATTTACCTTTGAAGGACCTAAACCCCAAACCCTTAATTACAGAACACCACGAGACCCTATTCTAGCTCCGAGGACCACTATGTAGGGCTGGTGTTTGGGGTGTAGTGGTGCTCCTGCCAGATGTCATGAAGGAACATGTCACTGTGCTTTTGAGCCTTATTGTCTCACGCAGGTTAAGGTACCGCCTTGCGTCACCGGCATGTCTTCTTCCGCTTATTCTTTATAACCAAGTAGCATGTGTGCATGTAAGGAAATACAGTATATACATATACTTATGACATATACTTGTAGAGTGCATATATCTATCTATCTATCTATCTATCTATCTATGTAAGTTGTTTACCTGTCAGTTTATCTATCCGGTAATCTGTTTTTCTGTAATTCTTGTGGGCCATATTCATCAATAAAGGGGGTATTGGCCTCCCTGGATCACGCTGAAACTCAGTACAGTAGAAGCCAGAAAGTTGGAACATCATTGCCCTCATGCCCTTAAGGTAAAGTATAAGGGATCCTAGCACTGATCATCCTAAAGTCATGTTCCAACTTTCTGGCATCTACTATAGAACACTCGAGACTCTGGAGTGGAGGTGGGTGAGCTCCTGGAAGAGCGCTACCTCGTGCAGGCCCATTTCAGGGTTCCTGAGTAGTTGAGTTTATAAACTTTAAACTTTTTGGGATAATGACGCCCTCTTAAAACTGAAAGTTTAAACTTTTTTGGGCTTATGAACCCGGCAACTAAGGTTCAACTAGAGGCGTGAACAAATTGAGTAACTATTGGCTCTCTGTGATGGTCTACAGTAGAAGCCAGAAAGTTGGAATATCATGATCGTAACCCCTTTAAGGTAAATTATAGGGGATCCTACCATCAATCCATATTCCAACTTTCTGGAGTTCCCTTTACATGGCTTGGCCAGTTTGAATGCACAAGTTCAGGGTTGCGACTGCAAGAGTCTCAGAGCAGTTTGGGGGGCTTCGGCAATAAAGCCTCGCATTGGGGTTCCGGTTGCAGGCCCCGGAGCGAGTACCCAGATAGATAGATAGATAGGTACCGTTTTGTTTCTTATTTTTCGATTGGTTTATCCATTCAGTTTCGTTGAGTGAGAAGGCTATGGCCAATGGTAAGGAATCTAGGCAGCACGTCAAGATGTGTTGGATGAAACCGTCTGTCAGAACCGTGGTTCATACAGCCAACCACTGTAATCCGTAGTCTTCACTACTGGTGTTGCACGAATAGCTAAGCAATCGTGATTGTTTCTGGCACCATCAGCCATGATTGTCCGTACCATCGCTGTTCTCATCGTCACTATCGTCGTTAGTCTTAGTGATTGCCCTGTTGCTGTTAGCACTTTACCTGCGCCACAGTACATACGGTCGGTGGTTAAGAGTGTTCTCATTACGGTCATTGCAATAGTGTTGATTCTAACCACTACTGTTTGTTACTAGTAGTCGTATTCATATTACCATTACTACTGCAACTACTCCACCCACCGCCCACTACTGCGACGACGACTAGTAGTCTGGCGACGATTACTACCATGTCTTCCTCGTATCATTGTGTTGGGTATCCGGGAGTTCCCTGCCCTATGCCCTAAACCCGAATTAAACCCTAAACCCCAATAAAACCTAAGCCCTAAACCCTAATTAAACCCTAAACCCCAACAAGCCCTAAACCCCAATCCCGAAACCCTAAGCCCTAAACCCTAAGCCCACCATAGGCTCTACCTGGTAAGGTATTCTTGCTGTACTGCAGTCGGAAAAGGGCCCGCAAAAAAAAAAAACCTAAGCCCGAAACCCTAAACCCGCTCACAGGACACGGTCAGCGGCCGCGGTGTGTTCTCCAACGTCGTCAAGGCGAAGGATACGAAGAGCGAAGGACCGGTTCATTTAAGGGGTTCCTTTTTTAGGGTTTAGGGGTTTAGGGTTTAGGGTTTAGGGTTTAGGGGTTTAGGGTTTAGGGTTTAGGGTTTAGGGTTTAGGGGTTTAGGGTTTAGGGTTTAGGGTTTAGAGGGATCTATAGGGTTCCTACAAGGGATCTATAGGGTTACAGGGCGTTTAGGGGTTGCTTTAAGGGGATCTATAGGGTTATAGGGCATTTAGGGGTTCCTTTAAAGGGATGTTTAGGGTTATAGGGCATTTAAGGGTTCCTTTGAAGGAAACTATAGGGTTATAGGGCATTTAGGGGTTCCTTTAAAAAGGGATGTGATAGGGCATTTAGGGATTAGGGTTTAGGGTATTGTTAAGTAGGGTTCCTTGAAAGGGATCTGTAGGGTTATAGGGCATTTAGGGATTAGGGTTTAGTGTAGTGATAAGTAGGGTTCCTTTAAAGGGTACCATAGTATATACTATTTGGGCGCACGGACCCTTATGGATTTATAAGTTGGGGGTTGAAGGTGCTGGCATTGCTATTGGAGGTTGAGGTTTTTAGCTTATTTTCCTGTCTAGGAATGGGGGTTCAGGCTGTCGGATGGGGTTTGGTACGTGTGAATCTATCATTGCATGTTCATCTATAAAGCCACTGAAAGGATGGCATTTCAGGAGTAGTTCCATGATTGTACCCTGTAAGTTACCGTCAGCTAGGGGGACATTCAAACCCTGAACCCTAAACCCTGGGGAACATTCTGACAGGAAGCTTTAGCCATCGGGTTCCTGAGCTTCTGGGATTTGCGATATTGCAATTGGATTTCCTTTCGAAGCATGTGTTTTGGGTTCAGGGTTTAGGGTTTAGGGGGTTTTGTTCTGAGAGTTCTGGTTCCCGGCCGTGGGTTTTGGGTTTTGGGCTCCCCCCAAAAGCCCAAAACCCCAAGCGGCCGATGCTTTTGAGGGCTTATACACGGAACACGCAACAAGGATCATTCGCAAGGTAGGTTTTACAGGGTTTAGGTGGTAGGGTTTGGGGGCGTTTAGGGAACTTGGTTTGCGGTCATCAAAGTCATCAGGAGAGCCGCTAGTGGCGCTCAAGATCATCCGCTCCAACGATATGATGAAGAAGGCGGGGAGGGCAGCAAGCGTGACGTCAGGGCCCTGTACCGCACTAACCCGAGAGTTTGCCCTAAATCCCCAAATCTGGTGAAAAGTTTATCTCCAAGGCAGACACACCCTGAGTCTGAATTGCTACAGCCTCACGTTCCTTGTCTAGCCCTGCTGCCTATAGCTGCCAAAAGAGCACAGAAATGTCGGATGGACGTGTGGACCCGCATGTGGGTGGTTGTCAGAAGTATGGTCCCTTTTTGGGTCCTTATTGCAATACGGGCACCTCATATTTAGGGTACCCAAGAAGGGACCATAATTTTGACAACCGCCCATGTGGTTCGGAACTCCGAGACGATCGAACCCTTATACAGCCCCACTTGGAGGTTCATGGGTAGTTATAAGTCTAGTAGGGTTATAAGTCGGGTAACTATACTTATAACCCATATTAGGGGACTTATATCCCTACTTATAACTACCCATGAACCCTAAACCCTATACCCTGATAGAATCCCTATAGATCCCTTTAAAGGGACCCTTAAAGGGACCCTTATAACTACCCATGAACCTCCAAGCAGACCAAGACCTTCAAAGCCGTGGTCCGGCAAGCGCGCTTGGTCGCGATGCCCTAAAGCCCATGTACCGCGTGATCTGGGTACTGTAAGGGTTCCCCTTTGAAGGGCTCCTTTAAAGGCTATAATAAGGGATCTATAATAAGGGGTCTATAATAAGGGATCTATAATAGAGTTCCATAATGGGTGCTGTAAACCCCATAAAGGCTCCTTTAAAGGGGTCTATAGTCAGGGATCCATAATAAGTAAGGGATCTATAGTAGAGTTCTACTGAAAGGGCACACGAATAAGTTGGAAACCGGATTAAGGCCAAATCGAGCTGGGAGTCCCTATACAGTGCTCTTAAGGATTGAGGCTATTGGGTTTCCGACTTTTGGGCTTCTACTGTAGGAGAGCCCTGAGGCATTGGTATCTCGAAATATCCCAGTCTACCTGATTTAATCTCGCAGACCCCATACAAAATTGACTAGAAGCTTGATGTAGGAGCATGCAGGATTAGTCGGTACAAGTCTATACCAGGGGTTCCCTATCATACCTTAATCCAAAGAGCATATGCCGCCTTCTGCAACCGTAACCGGGAGTCCTACGCTCAAAACCCCAGACCCTGAGTCCCTTGCAGAACCGTCAAAAACAGAAGCCCCTCAATAAAAACCCACGGCACACACACCCTCACACGGACCCTTAGCATGGGCCTAAACCCTAAACCCTAAAACCCTAAAGCCCTAAACCCTAAAACCCCTAGAACCCTGAAACCCTAAACCCCAAACCGTGGCTATGTATGTATGTATAATATATACATATACATACATATATAAATAAATATATATATATATATATATATATATATATAAACCCTAAACATTAGCATCGGCCGCCAAAAAAAAAGAGAGTTGCGATGGCTCAGGCCGCCGAGCGCGAAGTCGAGATCTTACAGACCTTGAACAACGCGGACAAGGCCAACAAGAGGCCACCTCGGAGAGTTCCGGTTGAGGGTTTAGAGTAAAGGGGCCAGGGTTTAGGGTTAGGTTTCAGGGTTTAGGAGTTGAAGGGTTTAGTAATTAGGGGGTTTAGGGTTTAGGGGGTTCCTCTGAGGGTTCTTGTTTGGTCGGATTCTATGAGTGATATGGCTCCCTAAAAGACGGGTTCCTGTCAGATTTGAGGCTCTACAGTTTAGGGGCTTAAATAGTTACCAATGCTATTTTGGGGGGCTCCTGATTTTTAGTTTTTGTATCATGGGCCCCGAAACCCTCTTCTAACTTCTAACTCTTAAGGTCCCTTTCTTGGGGTTCAGGCTTTGGTAATGTTCGGTTTGGTCGCGGCTTTTGGGTTCCGGGGTCTGATGGCCGTCCATCCTCGGACTGACCTGAACACCTGTTAATCCACACAGGACCCTATGAATCCCTCACAAAGCCTCCTCATGAAACTATAAGGTAAAAGCCAGAAAGTTGGAATATGATTATCCTAACCCTTCTATGGTAAATTATAGGGTATCCTACCATTAAACCACATTCCAACTTTCTGGAGTTCCCCCTAGGTTTCTATCAGGGTCTTGAGATTTCGAGGTTTGGGGCCTTTGGGGTTTCGGATCGGTGGCGCCCGAGCAACAAGAAGCCGGTGAAGGCTGCAAGTCCTCGGTAGCTGCAAAGAGCGTCTGCTAGGTTGCAGGAGTAGCAGTTTAGGGTTTAGGGTTTAGGGTTCAGGGTTTAGGGTTTAGGGTTTAGGGTTTAGGGTTCAGGGTTTAGGGTTTAGGGTTTATAGGGTTTAGGGTTTAGGGTTTAGGGTTGAGTAGCAGGCAACCCCACATCCAGAAGCCTTCCAAAGCCCAAGTTCTTGGACCCCAAAGACCCTGCTTGGAGGTTCCCTACATTGGGATTATAAGTACGTATAAGTGTAGTTACCTGGATTATAGCCTGAGTCCCATGAACCTCTAAGTGCTAAAACCGTAACACCCTTAAACCCCTTATGGAAAATCAGAAGGTTCCCACAAAAACACTCGACAAGCTCCTTCTGAAGCCAGGCATATTATCAGACTCATCGAGCCATGGACGCAGCTTCAAATTTGGTGTGTAGGTTTTCGATATGAATTCTGGCTGCCGGGCTTTCTTGTAGACCCACACAGATCTTGCTCCCCAAAGATTGGAATCTCATCCGTAGCCCCACACACTATTGAACAAGCTTCATACTGGTGGGGTTTGGTCGTAGGGACCAGTCGCTAGTTCCTGTAAGGGTTTTTTGGTCAAGAGTTATTAAGGTTTGTTGTTTAGGGGTCCCTTTTAGGGTTCTTGGTTAAGAGTTATTAAGGCTTATTGTTTAGGGGTCCGGGTTGGGCTTTAGGATTTCGGGTCGAGGGTTTAGGTTTAGTTGGTTGTGTTTTTGTGGATATCTTACGAATCTTGCTTGCGCATTTCCGCACTGCCGAAGGGTCCTTTACCAATGTAGTACACATGTATGTATAACAATTTAGATATACACGTGCCATATGTAAACCCCATTTGTACTGTGCGTGTATATGTATATGTATGTATGTATGCATGTATGTATGCATGTATATGCACCGCCAAGCACGAGTTGTTTCGTTATTCATACCGTTGGGCAATATGCCAATATGCCGCAATGTATGGCATGCGTAACGGTTTTCACTATCCAGGCTCCTATATTTGGCTTTTCAGCCCACTCCTGAGCCAAACGCCGCTAGAAAAACTTGAGGCTTTCAAAACCTGAGCCACCGGTGCCAACGGCGCGGTATTTAGACTGCAGCATCTTCTGCCTAAGCTAACTTGATGTTGGGGCTGGGCTTGCGCCCAATGCAACCCAAATCCTCAGCCCTAAACCCTGAACCCAAGTTCTGACTGTGGGAAGGAACGCAAACCCCCCCTTCGAAACCCCACAGTCTAATAAGGGGCCTGACATAGAGGCCTCGACAATTTGGGAAACTAGTCCGAAGGGGTCCTTACTGTAGGTATGCCACAGTGAACCCGATGTTTCCCATCTATGACGAAGGCCCCTGCATTAAACTCTTGCGCTCCGAACCCTAGACCCTGAACATTGAACCCTTGACCCTAAATGGGAGTTTCCGAAAATAGGGGACCCTAATATAGTACCCTAAATTTTAGGCCCTAAATAGTAGGATCCTTATTATAAGGACCCCAGTATAAGGTACCCCTTTTTTCAACTCTTAAATGCCCTCAAAGTTGAGCCTGAAGACCAAAGCATGAGGATCCGATTTCCAAGTTTTTTTGAAGCCCACTCTCACTGTTTTGTAGGTTTTTCGCTCAGTTTGTTTTTTCCGGTAGGGGTTTTCGGGGATTCGGAAATCAAGGAAACCTTCTACTACAGAAAGCACATCTTCCTGGTCTTCGAGTGCATGGCGGAGGACCTCCGCGGCGCTCTGAAGAAGTGCCCTTGATCAGGAGTGCACTTGAGGTGCTGAAATTGCTGCACCGGGATCTGGGCTAAGGGTGTAGAGCTCTTATTGTTGTTTGGGGCTTATAGGTTTTTGTAAAAAACCTATGCACTTATTTGGGGTTTAGGGTCAATAAGTTTACGAAATGCGTTAGCTTTAATAAAAGAGTCTGTGTGTGTGAGGGCGCTTGTTTGAGCGCGCGTGTGGCTTGCGTGCTCTAGGATGCCCAGTAGTACCCTTATTCCCTTCTTGTAGCCTAGACTCCTTATTAAGTTGCCCAATACCAAAATGGGAGGCCTTTTTATTCCTACAGCAGAAGCCAGAAAGTTGGAACATGGGTTTAGGAGGATTAGTGCTAGGATCCCCTATACTTTACTTTAGGGGCATGAGGATACTAATGTTCCGACTTTCTGGCTTCTACCATAGGTTACTGGGCATCCTAGTGCTGGTTGCAGCGCACGAGCGGTCTCTGTTTTGTTTCTCACAGTCCTGGTGGGAGAGTTTCCGAAAATGGGGGACCCTAGGATAGTACCAAATAGTAGGATCCCTCTTATAAGGACTCAAAAATAAAGCAATTACCTCTAATTTTCGGAAGCTCCCATGTGCAAGCAGGAATGTTACAGCTCCGCCTCAGATTTCTACTGGTTTTGCATTCTTCGGGGCTCAGCGAGTTGCTTAGCAGAACTGCCGGTGCTTTCTGGCAGTTATCTATACAAGGGATCTTTACATAATAAACCCTGAGCCCTACACCCTAGACTCCCTCTAAACCCTAACTTTGACCCCCCGGAGCCCGGAATCCCTGAAACCCGGACCCGAAATCCAAAATCCTAAGCCTTGTAGCTGAGTGGATAGATACACTTTACACTTTTTGGCTTTTTGGGATAATATTACCCACTATAACACTGAAGGTGTAGACTTTTTGGGGGCTTACGAACTCAGCAACTAAGTAACCCTAAGCCCCATAGACCCCTAAACCCTGTATTGTATCTGAGCTTTAGCACCGGGACCCGAACTCCCAAATCCTAAAAGGTACACCAAGAACAGAGGCATTTCACTACCCGTCGTCAAGGCCTGGGTGGGGAAGGTCGACAGTTCTTTCGGCATTGGGAACAAGCTGTCTCTCTCTCTCTCTCTCTCTCTCTCTCTCTCTCTCTCTCTCTCTCTCTCTCTCTATGTCTATATCTATATATACATATATTTATGTATGTATGTACGTCATAGGTAAACAGATGTAGATGTATGAGTAAATAGCAAATGAATGTGGATGCACCTATGTATGTGTATATATATATATATAGCTTTCATTTAGCAATTTATGCCTGAGGTTGGTTTTTGTTTTGCTACTCAATCAGTGGGTTGAAGCAGGCCTTTGAGAAAGGTTCCGTTAATGCCCCTTGCTCGTTTGTTTCCGAGTGATCTGTTGAAGACTTTGTCTGAAAAATCATACTTTCGTGTGGAACCTGTACTCCCGAAACAGGGCCAGTGGATTTGGGTTAAAGGTTTAGACATTTGGCGTCAGGGCTTTACCAGTAGTTGTATTTCCCATTATTAAAAGCCATTTGGGGTTGTTCTGGGCCCTTCGCCAGTTTTTGTTGCCAGACTCGAGGCACTTATCGTCAGGGGCGTTGTAGCTTCTTCATAGTCGGTTTTAACTCACAGCGCTTCCTTGGTTTTGAGGACGCGATCACATGACGGGTGGACCTTACATACTAAACCTTTACTTTTCAGCTTCTGACCCGTCTGGAACACAGAGGTTCTGGAGGCTTCAGGATTCTTTCGACTGTGGGTACAGTGGATTAAGAAAGCTTTCGCTCTCACAAAGGCCATGTTGTTTGGCCTCTGTCTTCAAGTTATTCTCGGAGCGTTGCGTTTCTGTCTGTACGGTGGCTTCACCAACAAAGAAGCTGAAAAGCCGGGCAACGGCAATCTCGAATTTTGTCTATCCACAGAGCTTCGTGAGGCAGATGTCAGCGCAGTTTTCGGGCAGTGCCTTACAACATTGAAAGCGATCGACTTTGCTTGGCTGTGTACGCGCGCGCTGGGGAATTTCTCTTTCATGTCATTCAACTTGGCTGCTGCCGTACAAGGGTACGGGTTCCAGGAGCATTGGAAGCTCGAACGCAGAATTGTTGCTTTTGGTGAAGGTTTCTTTGCCTGATTTTTTACTTCGGATTTCTCTACAACCTGCGGATTCTGCGTACTGCTGAACTTTCCGAAAGGCACAACGCATCGAGGTCATCCTGGTGCATGCTTCTCCGCTCCATGGCAAACTTCTCAGCCCTCAAGATCGTCACCCTGCTAAGCCCAGCTGCAGCAAAGCGTGTGGTGCTGCGGGCACATGCAAGACCCGGAGGAGATCTCTTGATGGCTTTGCAGTTTGCCTCCATCTTGGCTTTTTGCCTTGCGCCACTGGCTGTGATGGCAGTGTTGGTGAAGGTCTCGCAGCTTGACTTTATCACCGAACCTGTGTCCTGGACTTGGTGGGACTACGTTGCTTTCGCACTCTTCGTCAACGCCTTGGCAGGCCTTCGTGGAGATGTGGAGCAGCAGAAAATCGCTGCCATGTTCGAGCTCCTCAATGAGTCTGAGGCAGAGCGCCAGGTGGCAACATATTATGGAGAAGTTAGGATCGCAACTCGTGGAATCTTACGGTGAGTTCGCCGGGTTCGTCATGTTTGCCACCCTGTCATCGAAGCAGGTTGGCCAACTTTTGAACCAAAGTAACAGGACACCGCCAGAAACTGGGGCAGCAGATTAGCCAGAGACGCTGGAACCCTTGTCCTCTATAGACTCTGGAGGCTCAATCCTGACCCTCAGCCTGCCGTCTAAGACAGCTGCTTCTTCGTCAACCTTCAGCAAAATCGGGCTGAGAGCAAGAAGCCAATTGTCAAGTGCAGTTCGTGCACAAGCGCACACACACACACACAGACACACACACACACACACACACACACACACACACACACACACACACACACACACACACCACACGCACACGCACACGCACACGCACACGCACACGCACACCACACGCACACGCACACGCACACGCACACCCACACCCACACCCACACCCACACCCACACGCACACCCACACGCACATCCACACACACACACACACACACCCACACGCACACCCACACGCACACACACACACACACACATACACACACACACACACACACACACACACGCACACACACACACACGCGCGCACAGTCACACACACACACGTGCACAGTCACACACACACACACACAGTCACACACACTCGCGCCCACACACGCACAGTCACACACACGCACAGTCACACACACGCACAGACACACAGACACACACCCACACACAGACACACAGACACACAGTCACACACACACAGACACACAGACACACACAGACACAGACACAGACACAGACACAGACACGACACACACAGACACACACAGACACACACACAGACACACACACACACACACACACCACACACACCCACACACACACACACAGACACACACACACACACAGACACACACACACACACACACACACACACACACACACACACACACAGACACAGACACAGACACAGACACACACAGACACACACACAGACACAGACACAGACACAGACACAGACACAGACACAGACACAGACACAGACACAGACACAGACACATACACAGACACAGACACAGACACAGACACAGACACAGACACAGACACAGACACAGACACAGACACAGACACAGACACAGACACAGACACAGACACACACACACACACACACACACACACACACACACACACACACACACTTTAAGCTGTATACGGACTTCATGTAGCTATCTGCATCTTTACATAACGGTGTTGAGAGCTTTGCGGGCCCCTTGACCTTGAGGGAGGGATTTAGGGTTTAGGTTCACGGGCTTAGCTGTTCTGCTTCTAGAAGACTGATCGTGGGTCACGATGTCACGATCCCGCAAAATGGGGTTGAGAAAGCCATAGTGTGGATTTGCGCATCCCAAGCCCGTCTGCATCTGAAGCTTGTCCTATCCGAGCAGCTGATAAACCCCTGATCCTACATCCATCCTGCACAGCAGCAGCAGCTAGGCAACATCGTCATCATCATCATCATCATCTTATTCATCGTGGGAAATGCCGTCGGCGCAGTCGCAGGACCAACGTAAGTGGTGGTCAATACTGGCTGCAATGGTGCCGGTGCGTAGTAGTACTAGTGGTGGTGGTGCTGGGGGAAGTCGTGGCAGAAGATCCTTTTGGCAATGTTGGTCGGATACGCGTGTAATTAAGCACGGTGGAGGTAAATCAACTGAAATAGTCTTCTAAACTCGTGACCTCAAGCAGAAGCTTCTCTCACAGAGTCTCAGAGTGGAGTATCCGTCCAGAAGCAGAGCAATTACGTACCCACGTTGACATAGAGAGCCGCCCCATGTGACAACCCGAACAGGGATCCCGGCACAGGACGACCACAATTCCGCGCAGGGCATCATGCAGTATACTGGGTTTCGACAACCCGACATCCTAAACCCTACTTCTTGCAGAGTGGTGTTGGTGACCCGGTGAACGGAAAACCCAATCATCCGACACGCAGAGAGGCATACACGAAGCAGCTTCTTGTCGGCGTCCGCCACATGCACAAGTGCCTCTCCTGATGTCGGGCTACAATATGAACCAACGTTATCTAAGTTCTAAACCCTAAGCCCTAAGTGCTTGAATAAACCGTCTACCGGTATATAGAATGCACACCAGCCTGGCGAAAAGCACAAGCAGGAAAGCATACTTTTTGGGTAGTTTAGGATCAGGCTCTGAGGTGTTTTCCGTATCCGCATCCTGAATTGAGCATCTAGGACCTTGAGGGATTTATAGGATGCTTTTGAGTTTAGGGCTTCAGGGATTCGTAGGCGTTTTAGGGGTTTAGGGATTCATAGTGATTTATATGGTGTTTAGAGGCTTTTGGGTCTAGGGTTTTCAGGGATTGAGGGTTTAGGGTTTAGCGATCAAGGGTTTTTAGGGATTTAGGGGTTTAGGGGCTGGGTCCCTAGGAGTTTTGTTGTACACACAATAGGTTACTAGATTGAAGCTACTGTGGTCATACAATTACAAGGATATCCTAGGTAGTACCCCTCAAAGGGGAACTACTTCTGGCTCTCTTAAAAGGGGCCTTTCCTGAGCGCTATTGAGAGGATCCTTATCCCCAAGCCTAAACCCTTCAAGCCTAAACCCCAAACCCTAAACCCCAAACCCTCGAAAAATCAACCCTTAACCCTCAAGAAACAAACAATGACTAAACCCTATATAATCCTACCTGCGAAGGGACGGTAAGCAGCTGTGCGGGGAACTGGTCCTCCGGGATAGGAGGTGGGGGCTCGGGGCGACAGAAACTGAGCAGGGCTCGCCCTGAGCTATAGTCTCCTTAGGAATTGCTTTCATTTTCTGTTCATATAAACCCAAGAGAATGTTCAAAATATTGTATTGTTTTAGTATGGTTCTACGGGGGGGCGTGTAGTTTAAGATACCATCATGACGAAAGCTTATCACTATATGCGAACTTAATTGAGTCCCTTAAACGAAGCCCAGTTGAGATTTACACTGTTTTGGGTTTAGGTTTCAGGGGTTTAAGTCGCAAGGAACCTACCCATGCCCTCAGTCAAAAGTTCCTTCTTTGTGTTGCCCGGCTTCATTGTAGCATTCCCGACTTCTGATCGTTCCCGAAGCGCGAATGTCCCGCCACCAAATTGTAAGGGCATAGAGACCCCACGATCAAAGACCCAGCGGCCCTAGCCAGCCAGAAAAGAGCCAGAATCGTAAGCTCCTGAACCAAAAAACTAAGTATCCCGAAACACGAAACCCTAAACCCATGATCGCTATTCGGGTCAGCAAGAAGGAGCCATGTCCGTTTTGGTCGGTTCGTAGCTCATATGAGGCCGGAGTCTTTGCCCGGGTTCTGATTCAGCGCTCATTGGGAGACAGTGGTGAGTGGCAACCCTAAAAACCATAGCTGTGCCTGACAGACAAAGAACTCCACAAGCCACTTTTCAGGTTCAACATCATCCACGCAGATCTGAAACCTGACAACATCCTGATCAGCCAAGCTGCTCATCTGGCAGAGGGTTTAGAGATCGGCTTTTGTTGCAAGGGCTGAGGATTTAGGCTTTAGGTGCATGATGGTGTTGTTTAGACTGTTGGGCTGCGAAAGATGTGTTTCACCTATCCTCCTGCGGCGCAGTGAGTGCTACAGGGAGCTATCATGAACTGTCCCTTCGGACTTCCCGGATGTATTTATAAAAACAGACACATACATACATGTTGCTTCACTGCCCAGATGCTTGACGACAATCCTACTTTCGTCAAAGGGTCCAGTGCAGCAACAAGAGCAAGTTTCCCCATCCCAGCTGATGCTTCACATCATCTGGGAGTTTCCGAAAATTAGGGTACCACATTTGGGGGCCCTTATAATCAGGATCCTACTATTTAAGGTACTACATTAGGGTCCCCTATTTTCGGAAACTCCCATCTACCACCATCAACACAACAAGAGCTGCCCAGTGAAACTTAGCCAGACAGATCGAAGCTGTCAAGGACCCAAACCCTCAACCCTAACCCTAACCCTCAGACGTCATACGCCCTACGCGCCAAGCCAAAAACCCTGGAAAACCTGGCCCAAAAGCCAAGGACAATATTGTACCCCACAATAGACCCCTTGTAGCAATCCCTTTTAAATCCTATAGATCCCTTATAGATCAGGAACCCTAGGTGTCCTTTTAAAGGAAATTGGAGTTTCTGGGAACCCAAGGACTCAACGCTGTCAAGGACCCTAAACTCTCAACCCTAACCCTGGACCTAATATACCCTAAGCGCTTAGCCCTATACCCCAAACCCAGACCCAAAAGCCAAGGACAACAGCATCGTCAAGCTCTGCGACTTCGGCACTGCTGTGGAGCAGAGACTTTGGCAATGCAGGGGCATGTAAGGCTCCTGACCTTCGGGTTTAGGGGTTTAGGGTTTAGAGGTTTAGGGGTTTAGGCGTTTAGGGTTTAGGGTTCAGGGGTTCACGGGTTTAGGGGTTCAGGGCTTATAGGGGTTTAGGAGTTTAGGGTTTAGGGCCTGACCTTCGCCGCCCCAGCAAGTATGTCGCCCCAGACCCGTCGTTGGAGTTCAGGATTTGAGGTTGAAGGTGAACCCAAAGGCTCCATGTACCCATATAGTAGATACCTAGGCCTTGAAGTACCTATATAGAGACCCGTTTAAGACATAAGTATCTACTATAAAGGTACATGGAGCCTTTAGGGCAGGGTTGAGTGTAAAGCGCTTGAGGTTACACAGCTGTTGGAATCCCTTCTCCCAGTTTGGATCCTAAGCGTAGACTAAAGCAAGACACAGGCTCCGTTAGACCCTACCTTGAACTACCCAAACCTACTTTTTTGTAGGCTCCTTGCAAATTCTAGAAACTTATGTCTAGCGTTGATCACGAAGGCCTACGAAAAAAAGTTGTTGCTTTAACGGAAGCCGTACAAAGCCCTCAGTCGCTGCCAGTCTCATCCGTCCGTCCGATTGCCTAAACAGCGCTTAGGGTTTTGGGGTTGAGGGTTTAGGGTTCCATAACATCCGCAACCTTTACCCATAGACTCCAACATCCCTCAATTAGGGAATATACCTTGAATCATATAAGGGATCCTACCATAATTTAAGGAGTATTCCTTCGTTAAGGGATATTGGAGTCCCTGGGTACCAAAACCTGGAGTATCTGCAAGGAAAGATGTGGGCGTCTCCCCGTACCTCATGAGCCTCGGATGACTTGCGGTTTTAAGCTAGGTATGAAGGTTTCGGGCTCAAGGGTCTGAAGGCCTGCAGCCCCAAAACCCTAAACCCCTAAAACCCCAAAACCCTAAAACCCCTAAAACCTCCAAAGCCCCTAAAACCCCTAAAACCCTAGGTTTCCTTTTCGTGTTGCAGTACTGGCTCCTAAGCTGCGCCTTTGAAGGCTTCAAGGTGGCTTTTGTGGGCCTCCGGGCACGGTTAGCAAAAGGGTTTAGGTTGTTATTTGGGGTTTAGGGTTATTGTCTAGGGATTTGGGTTATTATTTGGGGTTTAGGGTTTAGGTAATTATTTGGGGTTTAGGGTTATTATTATTTAGCGTTTAGGGTTTAGGTTATTATTCCGACGTAGGCAATGCTACTTAGTGCAGTGGTTTTTGGAACGCAGCATCCTTCACCTTGAGCTTCAGCATATGGGAGTTTCCGAAAACTAGGGGTACCTCATTTTGGGGTACTATTTAGAGTACTGTATTAAGGTCTCCAACTTTCGGAAACTCATATATGAGTCGTGTAGCCTGAGAGGAGTCGTCAGGCCATTGCGGTTCAAATGTCACTTCACTGTGTAGAGTTCACACCACGCAATCCGTGTTGGAGCCCTGTCGAGCACCGACAAATACCTGTTCAACACCCTTCAACTTGTCAACTCTTGACAGCCGACAAAGCCATACATCATCCAAGCAAGTTCTACAAGAAGAAGAAGTTTGAAAACTTGAAGCCGTGTCCCCTCGAGGTCTATACCCTTTTGAGCCCTCGTAACACCCACTAAACCCTAAACCGTAAACCCAAAACCGCCCTAAACCCTTCGCCACTACGAAGCCCTCATTAAACAATCCTTTCTGTGCCAAAAACCCAGAGACTCCAATACCCCTTAATTCGGGAATATACCTTAACTCATATTAAGGGATCCTACCATAATCTAAGGAGTATTCCTTAAAAACGGGATATTCCTCAAACCCTATAGATCCCTTTAAGTTTAGTGAACCCTAAGCTGGGTCCTTTCTGTGCCAAAAAGCCCCTAGGAGCCGGTTCTATCGGCCAAGTGAAGTGATCCTGGGCTGCGAGTTTCTCGGCGTCGTTATGCCGGGTGCTTGTACTGTCACGGTTTTCTGAGGAGGCTTATAATACCAACAAAGTATACTAATAGTATTAATCATACTAAGTCACGATTGTGTGAGGATTCTCTCAGTTGGTGAGGGGCTTAAACTTGGGTGCAGGGATGAGGGTCGCAGGACTTTGGGATCAGGAGCTGTGTGGTTAGGCGCTCGGGCTCCGAGTGGTAGCTCTTGTCTGGTTTACAGCTTCTGGGGTTAAGGGCAAGGCTTTTTTTGGCGTTGCGAAAGAGTAGGGACTGCTCATGTCGACAGATCGCACAGAGTATTCACACTTTTCCCCTTGTCCCTGTGATACCAATGATGGTTTGAGTATTTAGTTTAGATGGTATTGAACCGGAATCTTGGATACGATACACTTTACACTTTTGGGGATAATCTTACCCACTATGAAAGCGAAAGTGTACACTTTCTGGGGCTTATGAACTCAGCAACTAAGGAATACATCGCCTGAGGGTCCCTACTCAGCCTTTCTGCTTCCGAGGGCGTTGACAGCAGCCTGAATGTAGCTGTTGCTGCCGTCCGTTACACCCTTCCTTGCAGCTGCTTGCCATCTAGCTTTACTGAAATATACCTCAGAACATTCATGACCCTGTAGAGCCCCCATGATCATGGTGCAATAGCAGAGGTTGAAGTCCTAACGCTACAGCCCAAACCTTAAACCCGATTCTTTAAGATCCCAGAACCCACACCACATTAAAGTAGACTTCCTGGCGCTTATAGGTCTCCTGACCCTAAGCTCTAAACCTGAACCCTGATAAGCCTACACAGGTACGGAATTCCCGTGGATGTGTGGGCGCTTGCCTGCACTCTCTACGAGATCTTCACCGGGAAGACCTTGTTCCAGGCTTGTCTGTCGATTCAGGTTTGGGGTTGAGGGTTTAAGGCAGAAGCCTGAATAGTATAAATATTTGACTGCAATATTGTTCCATAGGGTTCTTTGCTTATGCAAGCAATAAAAAATTTGCCCCAAAACCCCCTTTTGTAGTATGTAGGCCCCTTTGTACAGACGACCCACTAAAGATATGGGCCGACATACTTCATGAAGCGGCTACTAATGCATTCACGTTAATTCCTCCAGAGCAAAGAAAACCATATATTTCAGCAGAGGCTTGGGACCTTCTATGTAAGAAACAACAACACAATCAAGCAGGGAACATACAAAGTGCAAGGGAACTCGAAAAGCAACTGAGGAAGCAAATCCGATGTGACAAAAGAAAGAATATGCTGCAACAGCTGGAAGAGATGGACGAGCAAGGGTATAAATGGAGAGGCATAAAACAAATGAGGAAAAAGTTCTTCCCAAGACACACAAAATTCAAAGATAAGACAGGCAACCCCATTCCAGAAAACAGCTTCCCTGCTGCGGCAGCAGAGTACTTAACGAATGTGCAATGGAAAAAGCCGGAAACTGCTCAAGAACCCAAGACTGCTCCTCTTTCTGATGTTGGGGCAACAGTTAACCAATCTGCTTTTGAGCTTGACGAGTTCAATGCTGTGATCAAGCGGTTGAAATGCAACAAGAGTCCCGGGCCGGATGAGGTTACTACTGAGCTGGTAAAATGGTTGAACAACGACAATAGGACAAAGCTACTAATTCATTTCAACGACATACTGCTTCATGGCAATTACCCGGAATCTCTCAATCTGTCCAACATCGCGTCCATTTATAAAAAAGGAGATCCCGCGAAATTGGAAAATTATCGGCCAATAGCTCTTTTACAGACCTTCTACAAAATGTTGGCAGCTCTTGTCAAGAACCGTTTAGAACCTGCACTGGAGCCGTGGATGTCAAAAACCCAGTTTGGCTTCCGAAAGAAAAAATCTACATCGCAAGCCTTATTTATCGCAAGAAGACTTATGGATATGGCAGAAAGGCAAGGTACCAACTTAACGCTTGTACTATTAGACTGGGAAAAGGCTTTTGACAAAGTAGACCAAGACAAACTCATCGAAGTACTAACCCGGTTAAGTATACCGCAACGTATCATCGGCATTGTCCAGAACATTTATGAAAATGCAAAATTTAGAGTTGTAAAAGGCCACATCCGCTCCAACTATCAGACGCAAAATTCAGGAATACGACAGGGATGTCCATTATCACCATACCTTTTTGGAGTTCTAATGACGGCAGTCTTCCAGGACATCAAATCAGTTTTGTGCACACCAAAGCAAAGACAACCTATACCAGGCATTAGCTATGCAGAAGTTCTTTATGCCGACGACACACTATTGTTTGGAACGCACACCCACACGATAAACAAGTTGCTGCGACAAATACAAGAAGAGTCAGCTAGATATAATATGAAACTTAATTTCGAAAAATGTATCAATCTTACTATCAATCGCAAGCAGTCCTCTATCAAATTTATGGATGGGTCGGCCGTTCCGAGAAAAACCCAGGCAAAATATCTTGGAGCAACTCTAACAGACGCCGTTGACAACCACCAAGAAGTTACGCGTAGAATCGGGGAAGCCACAGCCGTCGCCAAACAACTAGGTTTGTTCTGGTCAAAAGCCCGTACAACAATTAAATGGAAACTACGAGTGATGGAATCCATTGTCTTCAACAAGTTGGTATACGGCTTAGAAACTATACAACTTACGCGTCGTGAACAAGACCAAATCGACGCTTTTCAACTAAAAATGTTCCGGCGTGTGCTCAATATACCACCTACCCATATCGACAGAAGCTGGACAAACCAAAGAGTTGTGGACACTCTGTGGCACATGCATAAATTCAATCACGTTAAACTATCAGTTAAATGGAAGCAGAAAAAACTTACCTTATTAGGCCATATCCTGAGGGCACCACATAGTGACCCAATGCGGGAAATACTGTTTCAACCGGGAAAGAACATTCCTAGAAGCGAGCATGTGCGTAGGGTCGGCAAACCGAGAGCAAACTGGCTTCTAGACACATTCGTAGAAGCATATGCATTTTTACATCCTCAAGCACGCTTCGATGAAACCGCCCCTGCGCTTTGGAACGAAATAGCAGACACGGCCATGCGCCGCGAACCCCCTTTTAAAACAAAGGTCAACGAAGCCTGAAGGAGAGCCGGAGAGCCACCTGATAATGCGATATTACGATTAACAAATCAACAAAGATTTCACCGAAGATGTCATCGAATATGTCATCGAATATGTCGTCGCTAAGCCTACGGAATCATTTCAGTGAGAAGGTTTTTGCGATTATCACCGAAAGTGTCACCGAATATGTCATCGAATATGTCGCCGACGAAGTGACATTGTAAAGGATTATAGTCAATGATAATGCAAAACGACCGTTATCTATGATCCCTAAACCCTATCTTACCCTATCCAACTTTTTATGAGCCCCAACTCCAATATCCCTGTACACAAGCGCTTGTGGGACCCTTCAGTCTACTTGCTCGATGCGGCAGTGGTGTAGCCAAAGTTTTCCCATCTTTTGTGCAGATCTCCGCAGATCTCCTCAGCCTCTGATAACAGATGGCTGCAACCCTTTCCCGAAGTTGAGCAACGCTCAGCACCTTGTGGAGCTGCGTATCAGTGAGTGAGTGAGTGAGGCCCCTTTGTTGAAGTGATGGGGGGGCCTGATGGTTCCTTTAGCACATGGTATTCGTGACTCTTACGAGTACCCGTATAGGCAACCCCAGAAAGTTGGAACATAGATTTAGGATGATTCATGCTGGGATTCTCTAGACTTTACTTTATGAGGCCAATGATTTTCCAACCCTTCTGGTTTCTACCGTATAAGAATACCAGCCTTATGGACCAGCAAAAGAACCAGCGTTCCTAAGCACGGCTGCAACCTATTGCCGATGTGAATGATTGTCGCCGCCCTTCCCAGGACCCCTTGGGAGACCTTACAATGCAGTCAAGGGTTTAGTGAAAAATCGCGGGTCTTCAGCACCTCAACTCCAAAACCCGAGTCTGTTGAAGCTATTGTCCTCCCTTGTTAGATATGTTCTGAAGGCTGTCTCCCACGGCTTCACACTCCCGGAAGCAAGTAAGCCGCCTTACTCCGGATTTAGGGCTCTAGGTTTTGTTCTGGACATTCTCCAAGCAAGACTTTCATCCGTTTGGTGAGGAACGGATCGCAGGGCTGCTGGCATTATTGCGGTTGCGCTTCACCCTACGTGGTTCTATTGCGAAGTTTCATGTTGTGTATTGTGCTTAGCTGGGTCTTGCCGCAGCAGCCCGTGCACAAAAAATGCCAGTAGTAACACCAAGCAACGGCCTAAGCAGCATTGCCGATCAAGAAAGGTGGCATTAGCAACGCAACAGCACTGACAGCTTTTCGATGACAGCAAGAATACATGTGATCCCTGACAGACAAGTCCAAACTCCCTGTTATCCCGTCCGTCAATATTCCAAGCAGAAGCGGTGGCCGTTCATCCATTCTGCTGTCATGCAGTTACCAACTCAATTTCCTGGGATTTGAAGTACCATACTTTAATACTTTTTTCTTAAATGAACCATTATGAAATGAAAGTCTTCAATTACTGTTGTTCTTATATGAACCATTATGAAATGAAAGTATTTAATTACTTTTCTCCCCGGTTACTTAAGAGCCCAGATTCGCCTGAGCTAGGGCAAGACCAACAACGACATGCTCAAGCGCATCATGGATGTGAAGGCCGGTAGAGGAAGTATTCCCGCGTCATTGAGTTGGGGTTGTGTATAAGATAAATCAATCAACTAAGAACAATTGTCAGAACCAAATAGATAAACAGTTATTATAGTTTAATGATTATTTGGTGCATATACATATATATATATATATATATATATATACATAGAGATGGTACCATAAATATAAAAAACCAAGATAAATACATAATTAACTACACACATGTGTATATATATATATATGTATATATATGTGTGTATGTATGTATTGGGCATATACGTCTTGATAGTTCTCGACTGAAAACTCAAGCCAGGGACAAGCCAGGAAGGCATGCACCACAACCTCCCCCTCTCGCGAGAACTGCTTAGCGTCTCTGAGCACAAGATTAGATCTGATCTGGCATGTGCAGTAAATCCCCTAAAGTTGGAAACCGTATTGAGGCCAAATAGTGCTGGGATTCCCTGTGCATTCCTCTTAAGGATAGAGGCTATGGGGTTTCCAACTTTTGGGGCTTCTACTGTAGGTTACGCAGATGCTAAGAAAATGGAACAAGCTGACCAAGGTTGGATCTATTTACACAAATGAGAGACAAGGTAGACTCTCGAAGCCTCAACTTGAAAGGCATTTAGGGTATGCGATTTGGGGTTTAAGGGTGTAATTATTGAGGCCCCTACATTATAGAACCTTACTATAGATCCCTTATAAAAGGAGCCCTATGTTGCGCTCTCCTTTCGGGCGTTGGTCTGAAGCATTGGACTCTCAAACCCTCGCCCCTCGAAGGCCAAGAGACTCTAAGCCCTCGTCAAGATCGGAAAAAGCATGGCATGAGCAACCCTAAACCCTAAACCCTAATCCTACAAGAAATGCAGCAGCCTTCTGGCGCGAAGCATCCCTAAACTCTAAACCCCTAAACCCTAAACTCCCTAAATAACACCCAAACCCTAAAGCCCTCTGCACAACCTGGTCTCTGAAGCCCTGAGCCTTCGCCTTACACCCGAAAGGGCTTCGGAATAGGGGCCTTAATAAGTATTGTGGGGTTCCTTAATGCAATTTCAGTGTAATATACCCCAAAACCCTATTCTAGCTATTAAGGCCCGGGTTTAGTGCGGGCTGTATGTCTCCGCATATACATAAGCAGCCACCAATACGGTTGGGAGCTTAGGCTTGAAGTCGCTTTGTATAAGCCTGCTTCAGGGGAAGATCCCCAAGAACGTGATTCGCAAGGGCGCGGTCTGGAAGAATCATTTCGATGAGAACCTGGACTTCAAGCGGCTCGGTGCTGTCTTGGTAGTGGCATCGGTAACTTTTGGGGGGGTACTGCAACCCCAGTATAATTGAATTACACCCAAGGGTTCGTTATCCTTCATTTCACTCATGAGACCGACAAGCAAGCTATGTTCGACTCAGATTTCCGGCTTCGGGTGCATCGATGCCCAATGCCCACTAGGTAAGAGACAGGAAGTCCTTTCGGAAAAACTTTTCTCTTTGCTGTCTTTGCATGTGAACCCCTAGAGTGAGGGTGTTGGGTCCCCCTTTTGCGCTTCTGTGCATCGTTGAATTGATTGTTGCAGTCCCTTGAGTAGTCCACCTTTCTCCAAGGCTTCGTAAACCCGGGATTCCCATGATATTCCTCGATAATGGCGGGGTTATGCATCAGGGGTCATTGCCTAGAGGGTCCGAATATATTACTTTCATGGAGGAGGTCCCTACATAAAACCGCAATACAGATGGTCTTTCGGGACCCTGCAGCAGTTCCAGAATGGTAGTACTATAGAGGCTTAAACAAATATTACTTACAACAACTATTTTGGGGGTTTCCTCACTAGTGTTTAGCATAACATATACCCCCAAAACCAGATCCTTATTCAGGCCCCTATAGGTTACATATTATCACCCTCTGGGTTGCTGAGCCAGGACATTTCTCGGACTGGTGGTAGAAGCGTAATGCTGGCAAGTCGTGCGCCAACCTTGCTGACGCAGCCTCGGGCACTAACTCATATGGCAGCCTTAAGAATTAGATCAGGCTTCTGGTGTTCTTAAACATAATTTTAATATAGCTATCGTACCAGTATGGAATAAGGAAGCTTGCGCATCTTTGGCATCTTTGCTCCTTTGGTTCATCACGGCAGAAGCCAGAACATCCATTCAATCGCCCGTTCAAAATCAGGTTCGTTGACAAAGATGCCCTCTCGGGCGAGGCCACTGCCAGTCGGGGCAAGGTTTGAAAGTTCAGAGCTTCAGAAGATATAACAGTAAAACTATGAATACATCCAATATCTCCTATACCAATAAGGATACTGCAATACAAAAGAGTATTAACATAAATGATTGCTCTGGAAAGTTGTGGATTGGCGGGTGCCCCAAAGAGGGATTTAGAGCTAATCTTTGTAAGCTCCCTTACCGCGAGACTTGGGGCTGTAAAAGCGTACAAGCCCCGGAATTCCAAACTCAAACCCTCAGTATGAACCTTCGTGCAAACTTAGAGTCATAGTGTAGCATGGGTAGAACCTACAGATGTTAGGTTTCTTCTGTGGTAGTCCTGAGCCCTTCAGCCGCAGCTAGGGCTGTTGAGTGAATTTTTTGGAGTCGGATCCTTGGACCTGGAACTAGAGTAATTAACCGTAATTTTTAACCTTTGCGCGGTGCGATAATCCGTCTTTGATTCCAACTGCTGACCTTGCACGTAAGATAGTGTTTCGTACAGGTCATTCCTATTCAGAATGGAGGGTTGGGGTATGTTGCTATAGCGCTACTGGACTGTAAGGGCACACTCATGCCCTTCATTCCGACCACTATTCTAAAATTATGCCGATGCAAGGTTTGGGGATTAACCTGCAGGGGTTTAGGGTTTAGGGCTCAGGGAGTGAGGTGTTGCTGCAAGCTTTGCAGCTTAAAGCTTTCAAGCGCAGCTCAGCTAAACTTATTGGCTGTAAACTCAACTTTTCAACTTTTGGGATTCTTATGAGGTAGTCGATTCTGAAAGTTTCAACTTTTTTTTCCTTGGGTTTTGCTCCAGTGACTAGAACCCTGAAGGAGATCGTCCGCATCGTCACGGACAACAGCTGCAAGAGGGAACTGAAGGACCCTCTGTTCGCTAAACCCGGGCACCAGACAACCTGAGCGAAACCACAAACCCTACCTCCTTCGAGTTGCATATAAGGAAATAATGATAATGATAAGAAACCTCAAAGGTCGGGTTTTCGGTGTTATGGTGGAGTTGGGTTCGGGGTTCGTGGCAGGATTTCGGTCCCAGACTTGGGTGTAGTGGGTATCGATTTTGGATTATTTGTAATTTCCTTTATTATTGTTTAACAACTCAGAGCCCTAACTACCAACAGTTCTTGACTGTTGAAAGCCACACCTAGTTTAGGGTTTAGGGTTGTCAAAATCTAAGCCCTAAGCCCCACCATGACTTGCTGACTTGTCAGGGTCCTTGCGCTGAGAAAATATTCCAGCCGTACAGCATGTTAGAGCTTTGGCAAATCCGTTTGGATCTGTGGAACTACCAGATAAAACCTCACCTACAAAGAAAACCCCTAGAAGAAATACCCTAAACCCTAAACCCCTAAACCCTACACCCTAAACCCTAAACCCTAAACCGTAAAGACTCTGCAGGAGTTTCTCCTTGATCGGCTGGGCCCCGAGAAGCAGAAGTCGCAGGAGCGGGAGGATCAACAGCAACTCGGCAGACAATATACTTACTGGGAGGGTTCTGGGGCCTAGGTTGTTTAGGGTGTTTAGGTGTAGGGTGTTTGGGGTTTCGGGGATAGGGCGTTTCGGTTGGTCGGTTTGCTCTTTTGTTTAGTTCGTGTGCTGGTTGTGGACCCTTGCTCGAGAAGTCACCCAGCCCTTGATATGGGTCGTACAGAAGAAGGATCCCAATGTCGCAGGGCCTTAAAGAGGGTCTGCTTTCATCAGCAATCATTAGCCAGGGGAGCACATTCATGAAAGTACCAGCCCTTTAAAACTACAATCCTGCCAAGGTGGCATTTACAGTACAGAGGTGGCCTTTGGGCCGTACGAGCTTCCCCAGTTTAGCAATGCTGCCTCAAATCTTACAATCTTACAGCCCCGTTCGTGCTTTCATCTAATCGCTCCCAGTGCCTTGCCTTGATCATGCAACATTTGTGGTCGTTGAGTTAGAAGCCTCTCGTAGCCCCTGCACCAGGAAACCCAGTTGCGACGAGGCCCAACTCGTCCGCTGAGGTACGTGAAGAAAACTTTGCATTTTGCCGATCTGTTGGACAAGATGCACCTTGCCTTGCAAGAAGTGCGTGGGGGCTGGATTGAATTTAGAGTCTTATAGGGTTTAGGAGGGGAAGCCCAGTAGTAGCCTAGACGCAAGTAGTAGGTCTCTGTGTAATTCTTGGTGCTGGGCTTGTCTACCTAGAGGCTTCATAGTAGTTCCTTTTAAGACGCTAGAAGGCAATCCCCAAAAGGAACTACTATGGAGCTATGGGTAGAGACCAAGAAACACCATCCAAAAAAAGCGTAACGGGACTTCGTGCTTTAAAGTAAAAGCCAGAAAGTTGGAATATGAATATCCTAACCCTTCTATGGTAAATTATCAGGTATCCTACCCTGAAACCAGGTTGCGGCGTCAACCGCGACCGCGCGGCGACAGCGCGTTGAGGGTTTGCACTGTGTTTCTGGAAATGCTGTTTTTTCGGCGTTTTTGCGCATTTCTGTTTGGAAGTGTGTGGAGCCACTAGTCAAAAGTGACGTTTTTTCCATGACTTTGAAGGCCAATGTGTAGAAAACACTGGCTGGCGTGGCATTTTCGCAACACACTGCTCGAGCACCTTAAAGTGAAAACTTTTTCACGTTGTTTTTTTTGTGTTTTGTTCTGTTGTTGTTGTTGTTGTTGTTGTTGTTGTTGTGGTGGTGGTGGTGGTGGTGGTGGTGGTGGTGGTGGTGGTGGTGGTGGTGGTGGTGGTGGTGGTGGTGGTTGTGGTTGTGGTTGTGGTTGTTCGTTCTTCTTCTTGCTGTTGTTGCTGCTTGTTTAGAGCTTGAAGGCTTCGCAGAACTGTGGTTGTTGTTACGAGCTTCAGGGCTTCACGCAACTCTAGGCGACTTGTTTAGCGCGCTTTGCTCGCTTTGTGTGCCAAAGCTCCTAGGGCAGACCAGAGGTCGGGACCGTTGTTACGGCGAAACTCGAAACTACGCACGTAGTCAAAGATCCTGGGATTCAGCTCCCGATCCACATTAAAGATGTGAATACCCCACAATTCGAAGTCCTCTTCGTCCGAAGCCAGAGCGTGCATATCCAGATCTGCAGCGAAAATATCATCTGAAGCATCTGGAGAAGCGATGGGCATTTCAGAAAAGGAGTCTTGTCGACAACGCCGCTGCAGATCTGCCAGTTGTTCGGCTAGGTCCGGAGGCAAAGGGCTCCATTCGGACAGTGGCCCATACCGTCCGACCAGGAGGCGTTCGTGACGCCGAACCAAGTCATCTACCAGATGGGACGAGCGCAAGCGAGCCATCTCGTGCCGTAGGACCGCAGACAGGAGCGCGAAGCAGCGCACCAAGGAGACCCAGGGAAGAGCTCCGCGACGGCCCTCCCGCATCATGCCACAGACTGCCACATCTGCTGCCGGGGAAGCAAGGAGACAGAAGACCTGTTGCAGGCCGCATGCATGGGCTGAGGCCAAAGGTAACAGAGGAACGCCACAGATGATGTGCAGGCAAGACGCTTCGAAACTGTCCGCGAGCTCCGCTGCAGACGCGCCAGCACAGGGCTGGGACATCGAGTGCCAATGCCACGCAGCAACAGCAGCGAGCTCACGGCCAACGCCGGCCACTGGAACATGCTCGGCCACCCTTCTTGGACCCTTCTTCGGGCCAGAGCGCAGGAGGCCGCAGCAGTAGTAGTTTTAACACGAAGCACTAAAGGGCAGGAGGCATCAGCAGTAGTAGAGCTAGTCTGAACATAAAGCACCACAGGGCAGCAGGCATCAGCAGTAGTAGAGCTAGTCTGAACATAAAGCACTAAAGGGCAGCAGGCATCAGCAGTAGTAGAGCTAGTGGAGCTAGTCTGAACATAAAGCACTAAAGGGCAGCAGGCATCAGCAGTAGTAGAGCTACTCCGAACATAAAGCACTAAAGGGCAGCAGGCATCAGCAGCAGTAGAACTGCTAAGAGTAGAACAGGTTCGTCATTAAGCCCCCCCCCCCACCCCACCCCACCCCACCCCCCGAAGCCTGAGAACATGCAAAAACCTGCAAAAACGCTGCGGTCACCCCTAACGCCGCATGCTGAAACCATATTCCAACTTTCTGGAGTTCCCTTTAAGAGAGTGAGAGCTTCGGCCCGCTGGTGGAGCCCTTCACCTAGCACTGGGCCATAACTGTTTTGGGGGGTAAGGGTGTAGTAGTACAGTATTAGTACAGTAGTATATAGTACAGTTGTAGTACAGTATACAATAGTAGTACAGTAGTAGTACAGTAGTAGTACAGTAGCAGTACAGTAGTAGTACAGTAGTAGTACAGTGGTGGTACAGTGGTAGTAGTAGGGTTTAGGGTTTTAGCGGTTAGGGTTTAGGGGTGCATGCGTGGATGGGTGCATGTAGTGGATGGACAGATGGATACATAGACAGATAGGTAGGTAGGCAGACGGACAAACTAATAGCACGCCTCCAGGCTAGCCCTGGATCCTGATAAGCGGCTGAGCGCGGAAGATGTCACCCGGCCGCAGTTCCAGTGGTGGCGTGTCGGGCTTCCAGTTTAGGGTTTGCAATGGGGCTTTGTGGGGTGCATGGTCGCGGGCTCGACAAACATGCGACCTCCCGACAGAGATTTGAACATGGAAGAATGTGAACAGGTTTTTCAATCTTGAATTTATTAAATCAGGTGATCCTGGAGAACTTTAAGGGTTCACAAAGGGTGTTTCGAGACGATGTGTGAGCTTCTTGTTGTGCTTCACGCTGAAGCCGTCAAGACAATGAAAGTGAAGCCATACAGAAAAAGAGCCAAGCCCGAATGCTTAAGGCGTTAAGGTTTCAGGCTGTAGTGTAACGTCCTGCTTATTCGGAGGCATGTCACTTTCTTGTCCCTCACCCTAACCTAGTAGTAGAGTGGGTAACCTTTAAACTTTTGCGGGTGATTATTATACTCCCTGTTTCATCTCGAAGGTACTGGACAAGTCGTAGGCCAAACCAAACGATTCCAAACTCAATCCCCCAAGCCCGGGACCTTTGCAAATCCCTCAGCCTTGGACAAAAAAACAACGGTTTCAGGGTTTAATAAAAGCCCTGAAGCCCTGGAGACCCTAAAGCCCTGGAGACCCTCAGATTCACGTGACTTCCTCGAGGCATTCTCAAAGCACTGGAGCACAGAGGTCTGTCAGCATACAGTACAGATCTACCATGATTGTCGCCGCACATTTATACCGCTTTATGCTACATGATACCCTCTCTGCAGGAGCCTAGTTCATCCTAGTTCAATAGTAAGCGTCGTAACCAAGCAGCTCCATAAAGCCTGTAAAGAACTCTAGAAAGCTCTATGCTTCTTACAACATTAAGAAAGGGCCCCCTTTTCCTTGCTTCGAACTTGGAGAAATGTTGAGACGTTGATTTCGCCCAGGCTCTGAAGCATCACTTCGTCGAGGATCCCCGGGAGAAGAAAGCCGCAGCAGCTGCCGCGCCGAACGCTTCAGGCGGGGGGCCTCGGGTTGAGGGTTTCAGGATTGTAAGGCTTTCGGGACTTTAGGGTATTCGGTGTATAGTTGGTTTTGGGGGTTTAGGGAGTTTAGGGTTTCAGGATTGTAAGGTTTTAAGGACTTTATAGGGTATGCGGTTTATAGTTGGTTTTGGGGGTTTAGGGAGTTTAGGGCTTCAGGATTGTAAGGTTTTAGGGACTTTAGGGTATGGGGTTTATAGTTGGTTTTGGGGGTTTAGGGTTTTTGAGGTTCAGCGGTTCGGGTGTGGAGTTTTGGAAGTGAGGCTCATGGCTCTGGGCTCCCCAGATCATTGCATCAAGGGCACGGATTTGGGACTCGCTTCGCGCAGGTTGATCTAGCTTTGAGGAGTCCACGCACAAATCCTGAAGCCTGAAACCCGCAGTGATTCATGTATAGTATCCTTGTGAGAGGGGCCTCCAAGGGGCATAGATAACCTACTACTCCCTAGTTCTCTCTAGTGCTCCCTGAGGTTCCCTGAGGATGCCTTGTACCCTCCCCCCTTGAACCACCCTCCCTTAAGGACTTCATAATTGATGCGAAACTTGAAGTGAGGTAGCGGTTTGCCAAGGTCCCACCCAAGTGCAGCCATCGGCGACTGGGAGAACCTCCTCTGGGAAAACCTCCGCTGGCCACAAGAAGAGGTGCGGATGTCGCCCTTTCTTTGTTGGTTTAGAGATATGGGCAGTTGTCAAAATTATGGCCCCGTTTTGGGTACCCTAAATACTAGGTGCCGTATTGTAATAAGGACCCCAAAAAGGACCCTAATTTTGTCAACCACCCATATGCGTTTGGGGCTATGGTGTTTGGGTTTGGGGTTCAGGAACTGGGCTCTTCCCGGTCCGAAACTGGGGCACCCCCAGCAAACAGCCAATCGGCATTCTTTACTAAGTAAGCCCTAGAAGTTGGCTCGCCACGCCAAAGCTTCTTGAGATCCTGAAGCCCTCAGAGCATTCAAACCGTACCATCAATCTAGCATGCAGAGGTTTGAGTAATGAGTGCTGATGTCCGCACATGGTCGCCGCCCAATCTAAATTTTCCAACATGTTACAATCTACCCCAAAACTCTTCTGGAACTCAATGCTTAGCCACAACAGTCGGGTTATGTGGGCTTCGGGCTTACAGTTTAGGGTTTAGGGTTTACGGCCTCGGGTGGGAGAGCTACGAGGCTTCGGAGGATTTCGTGTGTACTATAGGGGCCTTAATAGTTACCTGTACTATTTTTGCCTGCTTCCTTATTGATATTGGTAGTATACTGGCCCTAAAGCCCTGGTGTAATTATTAGGGCCCCTGTATTAATCGACTAGGGCACCCAGTAGTACCCACTTGTCCTCTTCATTTCAGGAGCCTCGTATTGTTGCTGAATAACAGGAAGAAGGTACCCGCATCAATGAAGAGGCATTTGGGAACCGAGTAGTGTTCACAGAAAACCCAAAACCGAAGCTCCCTAATTTAGAGGGCTCTTACCGTGGGCAGGGTGTATTTCAATGGGAGTTTTAAGGGTTTTTGTTGGGGTCTGGAGCTGGAAGAAGAAACCCTGCATGCCCCAAGCCCGGAACCTAAACCCTGAACCCTCAACCCTAAGTCCCAAACCTACGCGGCTAGTATACTCTGCTTGAGGGTGACGCTCTACACCGGTTTTCACCTAAGCTCTAATCTCTTAAAGCAGAACTGAGACATAGACTTTGGGTGGGACGTCCCTACCTTATATTGCTTCGTTTAGACAGGGACTATATGGAAGGTCCCAACCTTGTGGCTTTGGTTTCGTTGCTTTTCTTGGTTTCCTACATAGACTCGCAATGTTAGGGGTGTAGCTTCTAGGGTTTGGGGTTTGAACTTTGGGGTTTGGGGTTTCAGGTTCCCAGAGACTCCAATATCCCTTAATTAAGGAGTATTCCTTAAATTATGGTAGGATCCCTTACATTACATGGTTTAAGGTATATTCCTTAATTAAGGGATATTGGGGTTTCGGGTTTCACCGGGTAACCTGAAGCTGTCGCTTCCTGGCAGGTCTGAGAGATAGCCGCGCCGGAGATCTGAGCTTCTGTGCTTATCATCGCCTCTTGATGCCTAGTGCTCTACGGTTGATGATATAAATCCTGCATTACCTATAATCCTTAACTTTAGTAAAATCCTGCATTACATTAAGGACCCTAAACTATGGGAATTATGGTAAATTACGATAATTCCCATAGTTTAGGGTCCTTAATGTAATGCAGGATTTACGTCATCAACAGTAGCGCTCTATTTCACAAGAGGCCCCAGACATGTAAGCGAAGTGAAATACTGATAGGCAGAGTACCTTAGCATGTTTGTGCCGAGGCCTGGGCCTGAAACCCGCAACAGGGTTTAGGGGTTTAGGGTTTAGGGGTTAGGGGTTTAGGGGTTTAGGGTTTAGGGGTTTAGGGGTTTAGGGTTTAGGGTTTAGGGGTTTAGGGGTTTAGGGGGGTTTAGGGTTTAGGGTTTAGGGGTTTAGGGTTTAGGGGTTTAGGGGGGTTTAGGGGTTTAGGGGTTTAGGGTGGTTTAGGGGTTTAGGGGTTTAGGGTGAGTGCAAAAGCAAGCCCTATGCGTAGGACTTGGGGGGGTCAAAGTCCAAAGCAATCAACGACCTAGACCCTAAACTCCCATACCTAGTAGTAGAGTAGGTAACCTTTTAAATTTCCTTATTTGGGTAGTATAGTCCCTATACAATCCCTATATAACCAAAAAGGTTCACCTTCAGTTCCCCATGATACCCGACAAGTAGGCATAATTCCTGGAAGACGGCACAAACAGTTGGATTTCTGATACTATGCCCCAGCCAAATCCGGATCCCTGAAAAAGCACTGCGGCAGTAATTAATTCAAGCCACCGAAAACCTAAAGCTTAGAATCAATATTCCCCAGCCCGAAACCCAGACAGCCCCTACACCTGGACCTGGAATTCTGAGACCCTAAACCCCCAAAACCCAAAATACCCCAAGCAAGCTCCGAAGAACGCGGTCCGATCTCCGATCCTCGAATACCTACAAGGCTCAAAAAGCGAGGGTTCGCTGCAGGCGGTGGTTGAATGGAGACTCTGGATTATTATGACAATGGTGCTATGAAGGCGTTTGTGATAATTGTGTTTCTCATTAGTAGAGTAGGTAACCTTTAGCCTTTTTGAGGTGTTATACCCATCCCAAAGGTGAAACCCAAAATCCCTTCGTAAGTAAGCTGGACAAGTAAGAAATTACAGCTGTTAGTGGACATGACATAGCCTTCCTGAAGCTTACACCGAGCCCGAAATCCCTGAATGGTAAACATGAGACTGGTATAAGTCTGTATCTTTCTGGGCACTAGAGGATTTCGTCCGTTTGCAGAAGCACTTCAAATGAACCGGATTCTAAGCTCCAAGCGCCAAGAACATGCTTACGCAGAAGTCTGGGCCCATTGCTTTCGCTGTCTCCAGAGGGTTAGAAATCTCAATTCGGTATCTTGTTAAGTATGGGTTTCGGCCTCAAACCCTAGACAAAATTTTCAAGGGCATGGCATTTAATATAGTTATCGAAATCACACCCGAAACCTCGCCACGAATCAATTGCTACTGCCTGATGCGATCCGTGCCGGTAGAGCGACTGCACGACACGAGCCAAAAGGCATGCTGCATTGCATCTCGTGCTTCGGGTCCGTTGGTGAACGCGTTTCAGGCTGAGTCATAAACACTGCACCCTAAACCCTTGAACCCTTATTCTGGAACAGTTCTACAGGCGTTCTAGGGATAAGTAGCAACAGCATCCCCTCATAATCCCTATCGAAGTATCAGTAAGTCCCTAAACCCTAAAAAAAACCCTAAACCCTAAACGCCTAAACCCTAAACCCTAAACCCTGAATAGTTGCAGAACCTCCAAGATCTATTAAGATCATCAGGGCTACGGGACTTGCGAGCCCCGGAAGTTGCTAAAGCCTTTCGGCAAAGGGTCTTGAGGGTTCTCTGTGTGGGTTCTAGAAGTTGTTGGGGTTCTGCTTTCAGGCTAATGAAAATGCGTTCCTACTACTACTACTACTACTACTACTACTACTACTACTACTACTACTACTACTACTACCACAACTACTACTACTACTACTACTACTACTACTACTACTACTACTACTACTACCACTACTACCACTACACTACCACTACTACTACTACTACTACTACTACTACTACTACTACTACTACTACTACTACTACTACTACACCTGCTACTACCTACTACTACCTACTACTACTGCTGCGCAGCTCGCCTGGTTCTTGGACAGGATATGACGAAAGAGCGGCAGACTCCAGACCACGAGTGTGACCCGGCTGCATTTTGCTGGAGGCGACGGTTTCAGGACCTTAATCAGCCAGTTAGGTCATTCTTTCCTGGCGAAGGATTCAAGGCATGTATGGTATATGCAAACATTATATATCATAAACACACACACACACACACATGTACATACATACATATATACATACATACATACATACATACATATATATATATATATATGTATGTATATATGCATAGATAGATAGATAGATAGACAGATAGACAGATAGGTTGATCGGCAGATAGGTAGATAGAAAGATAGAAAGATAGGCGAACTGATTGGTTGATTGATTGATTGACGCACATTTATGTGTTTACATACATATATATATATATATATATGAGTTTAGATAGCATCTACATATACATTAAAAAGTATGCATCGTCACACGGGCAACCTTCAATTCGCTTGGGAAACTGAACAAGTGGCTATGTCAATCAAATGTGAGCCCAAACCGCACGTTCTTGCTAGTGTTACTGCTGATGGACAAAATCCTGCATTACCCATTATAAGGAACATACCATAGTTCCCACAGTTTGGAGTCCTTAGGGTCATGCAGGATTTTGTCCATCAACAGTATTATCGCAGTGGTACGTTTGGTAATTAATGATGATCGCAGCAATGGGTCGACACCCCAAGCCCTAAACCCTTAAACCCTGGTTCCATAAAACCCCCTAAGCCCCTAAACCCCTAAACCCTAAATCCTAAACCCTAAGCTCCTAAACCCCTAAACCCTGAACCCCTAAACCCTGTTACACGAGCTCAGGCTACCACTTGGCGATGGATGCGGGGATTCGAGATCCAGGCGCCAAGGGCGTGACATGTCAAAGGGTTTTGGGTTTCTTGTTTGGGGATCCGAGTTTTGTTAACACTTCCTTGTGGTTTAGGGTTTGAGCCTATGGGGTGTGGGTTTAGTGCGGTATAGGCTTTGGGTTTTTGGCAGGTTATGCTTTCTCCGGTGTTCTTCAGCTGCCGGTGAGCGCAGTTAAAGCAACCCTCAACCCCCTAATCATGACAGAAAATGTACAAGCACCTGGCCCCGAAGCCAGAAAGTAAAGCTCCAAGCCGTGCACCCTACTACACTCGATCTGCTCGTACTTGAACCCCATGGCGAAAGCCCGAAATTGAACCCCGCCAAGCCGAAGTTCCGAACCCCATTCTCTGAACCCTCCAACCTTACACTAGGACCCAGAGTAGGCCCGTATTCCCTTTTTTGAGGCTTAGGTTCCCTTATAAACCCCTTTAAACCAAAAAGGGCACCCTTTTTATTCCTAGGTTACTCTTAGGTCTAGTACAGCTCCAAAGCACATTCCAAAACCCAGCAAACCACAAACTCAAGCTGCAACACCCAATACCCTGAAACCACAAACTCGAGACCTCAAACCCGCGTATAGATGCCTGATAAAGGCCGAAGTAGCATCAACAAATCATGGCATGCGGGTAAAGCCTTGCCAAACCCTTATAGCACCATATAACCCATGAAGCAGTATAAAACCCAAACAAACCCTGAAAAGACACCGCATAAAGCCTGATCAAGCTCGTATCAACTCTCAGAAAGCTGCACAAAACCCCTAGACAAGCGTGTACCTTAAACCCTAAACCCTATACCCTAAACCCTAAACCCTAAATCTGAGCCCTGAACCCTATCAAAGCCCCCCTAAACCCGAAGCCCAAGCCGAGGAGGGTCCTGATAGTACAGCTGGTCCATATGTAGAATTAGGGGTACCTTATTTGGGGGGTCCTATAATAAGGATCCTACTATTTAGGGTACTAGATCAGGGTCCCCTATTTTTCGAAACTCCTATATTTACCAGCATCAAGGAATTCGGTGCCAAGAGACTGTCCTTATTATGGTTTTTGGGGACCTAAATTCCAAAAGCAACCGCCTCAATTCCAAAAGCAACCGTCTTCCTGTGCTTTTTGAGGTGTAAGAAAAAGCGCTACACCCCGAAACCCTAAACCCCTAAACCCCCAAACCCTAAGCCTCCTAAGCCCCCAAACCCCTAAACCCTAAACCCTAAAGCACCGTGTTCCTGCTTTTTGAGGAGCCCCCGACGACCACGTGGAGCTTCTTTTCAACGAGGCTCCGGAATTTCTTGATTAAACAACTAGAGTTTGGGGTTTAAGGTTTAGGGGTTTACATTCGGTTTGTGTTTGGATTTAATTTTAAAAGATAGGGTTTGCACAGGGTTTTGGGGATCTAAATGGGTTGGGGTGTAAAGTCTAGGCTTTTAAACAGATTCTTACTATTGTGCTTAGTTTTGTTATCTATAGCAGCTGTGGCAAGCACCAGGGCTCGCCAGCTACGAAGCAACATGTTCGAATCTCAGACCATGCGTCTATCTCAACTTCTTTTCCGGGTGTGCATATACCATTAGTGGTGACCATGAACGAAGTCCCATGCGATACGTGTTGCGAGTGTTGATAACTGGCTCATTCAATGCCAAGATATTCTTGAGTGAGCCGATTATATGTTCATCGTGCGTGTGGGGACATGCTGCCGCGTGCATTCCTCCTGCACGCGCCTCGAGGTGTAGGGCCCTGGGCTTAAACTCTGCCGGGAGTTTGCAGATCCAGGGCTCCAGCTTCGGCCCTAGTTATGTATATACATATAAACGAAAAAAAAATATATATATATATATATACACATATATATATATATACATATATGTATATATATATATATATATATATATATAAG